ATCCATCAAACTTAAATACTAGTAAAGCTGGAAGCTTGTAGTATCTGTTCGAGTTATGAGGATGTTAATTAAGTGAAAGATAGTGAAAGAAAATTGAATGAGAGCAAAGACAGACTTTGAAAAAATAAATGGGGTTGATTACCAAGCCAGGAATCGAACCTGGCTTGGTAACCTGAAGAGAGAATAAAGCTCTCGATCAAAAGGGAAGATGAAAAATCCATCTTTAGACTTAAATTAGAAAAACACTAGTCTTCGTCCGAAAATAGCCCAATAAAATTCTAATTCATATATACTATCATGTCGGTCCAAAAAAATATATCATTAAATAATATTTAATGTCTTTTTAAAAATAAGAAAAATATTTTATTTCTTCTTTCAATACTAAAATGCCTTGATTCAATCATATTTACCTTCTAAAGTGATAATCTTGAAGTACATCATTCTATTAAACAATAATTAAATTCAAATTACAATAGATCTAAATAAAACATATTGTTTTTCTTAAAAAAAATGGAAATTATTGAAAGGATGCAGATGTATGAAAAAAAATGTAATTTCTTCCTTTTAAATTTGTTTTTTAAGGGAAGTTTGTTATGTAAAGATACTTATTAGACATTTCATATTTAAATTGTTGGAATTAAAGTATAAAATTTTTATTATAGACCAATCAAAGACTTATTCGGTGGATTGATACAAAAGGTAGTAAAAAGTGAGCGGCAAGAAGTATGAAAAGAAATCCTTTTCTGATTTCTATATATTTTTATTTATCATTATTTATTTTTGAAGAGGAGTTAGGTAAAAAAGAAACGGACAAACAAGCGAATGACTTTTGCCCGTAATTGGAACCGCGGGAGCCTGACCAACGTCCGTGTTCAAGCACTCTTTTCACATAACCATCATCATCTTTCTTCGAGGGTGTCTCTGAACAAGTAAAGCCAAGAACTTCAATGGCACATATATATATATATACACACACACACATATATATATATATATATACACACCTCACACTCTAGTGCTACACAATACTTTTGATGCGCATTGCACTATTTTTTAATATTTCTCCGCCGTAAGATCACCGAACAAATACAATGAGACCTTATTAACTATAATTACATATAAAATTCATTTAATTTCTTTTCATCTCTTTTATGAGATTAAAAGATCTGTTGTATATTATTTTATCATATATTTTTTTGTCAGATTAAACTACAAGGGGCCTTTATAGATCCGATAATTTATGTACAATTTAACAAGACAAATAGTGTAATTATTATGCGAGCAGAGGATTGAATAAAAATTAGCGCAGCTTGTGATGAAAATATCGACATACATAAACTTGAAATAAATCCCCCAAGTTAAAGTAAAGGTAAATCAATGGAAATAAGGCTGATATGTGATGTGGGGTGACAACGAGTGGTGAGAGCTTGTTGGAATTGCCCGGGAGATCATTATCGGCAATTTGTGATATATCTTTCACCGAGTAAAGAGCCATATTGCCATGTCACATCAAATTTCTCCCCTCGTGTTACTTTACTGTTACATACACACTTACTTTCTATTATATACCGCTTATTGGCATTATTTTATCTCTTCTTCAGTAAATCTACACATCATCATCATCATCATCATTATCATCTTTATCACAGTAAATAATATGCCCTTAAGCTAATTATTTTTTATTTATATAAATAAAGCTTCTAAAAATTACAGAAACTGATTTATAAAATTTATCTGGCTATAAATAATTTTAAAAAATATAATTTATCTTTTAAACATTTCAAAAAAAATTTTTTACAATAATATTCACATTTGTCTTATAAAATTTATTAAAAAGTCTACTTTAGCCATGCAATAGCTTAATAATTTATTTTTTATTGTGGATCTGTTTAAAAAAATTTAATTTTTTACTATTCTAAAATTAATAAGATAATTTTATTAATAAATTAATAAAATAATTTATTGTAAGAAAATTTTTACAAAATATTTACATTTTGAAATTTTTAAAAGTTTTTACAAGTTTTTTTTTTATATAAATATTAGATAGATATAGATTTTAAAATAATTATTAATTATTTTACAAATTTTTTAACTAGTCTAAACATTTATAAATATTATTTGTTGATAACATTTAATTTATCCTTTGATAAATAAAAAAAAAAAAAAAAAAAAAAAATGGCAAAATAAATTCCAAATTTAATAATTTTTTTAAATAAAAATTAATAATAATATTTTTTTTATGACAGGTCAAGAATTAAATTGCAAATAAAAAATGTCATAAGCTCTACAAGTGGTCCTTCGATAGCAGATTCATGAATTCAGCGAAATAAAAAAAAGACATCGACTTGTTCACACGTAACAGAAGTAAACAAAAGCATGGGGATTAAAAATAGAATATTTAAATATGTAAATAAGAATTTTTTATATAGTTATGTAGCTACTCATTCTCAGTGAGTTGTGAGTTTTTTGTTTTAAAGAAACAGCTAGGGCCGCTTTGCCGTACACTTGAATTAATTTGCTGTATACGTTAATTTTTAATGAATTCATAAAGGCACGTCTGATGCCCAAGTTGATCTTCACCACTGCTGTGTTGCTTACTCGCTGCATAAATGCTTCATAAGAGATATATGTATGATATAAATATGATGCGAGGAGAGGATGAACACCAAGCTGTGATGTGAACTGTAATTACGTGATGATATTACGTCGCCACTACACTCCTTTTTAATGCAACGACACGTTTTTATATCTACATGCTAACTTTTATTGTACGTATACTGACTAAAAATATGGACAATCATTTATATTTATATTTATAATTTTAATTATGCATAATAGTCATATCACAATTGACAAGTATTGGAAGTAACTGAACATTTATTCATAAAGGGGAGACTTATTTTGAATCGTTAAAAATGACGATGTACATTTTTTGGATTCATTTGAAATTTTAGCAAGTAGTGGGTATATATTTATATAGTTTTTATTTAACAAGTATTATATAAAGTTGAATGCGCGCTTGATGCAGATACAGAGTCTACAGAGTCAGTTCAGAATACCTGTGGGCTTGCGCATAAAAGATAAGTATGCGATGAATAAACTAAAATTATACATACATTTACTCGCTTATGATGTACAGTTGGACTTGTATAAATGGAAAATGTATGTGAAGAGAAACGAGGTGAATACAGGGATTAAATGTGAATACTGAGGGTAAAATAGAAAATCATATCATCTATATTTACGATTATAAACCAACCCTCGTTAACCGAAAGCTAATGACAAGTGTTTTCGCACCGACAATATATACTATAAATAACAGTATAATTATTTGTCATTAAAAATAATTATTTTAATTATTTATTTTATCGTTTAATTTTTCACTGTAGCAACTTTGCAGTCTTTATGTGAACTATAAATAAATAAAATTTTGCTTTATTAAATTAATGATTTTTGTTAAATTGCATTGTACTTATTTAACTATTGAAATTTTTAAAGATATAAGCTCATTCCGAGGTTATACTCATCGAGACCTTTCATTTGAGTACCCACATCAATTTTTCATATATTTTTCATATATACATATATATAATATATATAAATATATGAAAAATTGATGTAGGTACTCAAATGAAAAGTCTTGATGAGTATAACATCAGGATGAACTTATATCTTTAAAAATGTCAATAGTTCACGAGATACAAGGTCATTTCTTAAATATTGACATTTTTAAAGATATAAGCTCAACCTGATGTTACACTCATCGAGAGCTTTCATTTGAGTACTCACATGCATTTTTGATATATTTTTCATATATTTATATATTATAATATATATAAATATATAAAATATATCAAAAATTGATGTGGGTACTCAAATGAAAGGTCTTGGTAAGTGTAACATCGGAATGAGCTTATATCTTCAAAAACGTCAATAGTTAAGAAAATACAGTGGAATTTAACAGATATCTTATAAACTATTGACATTTTTAAAGATATAAGCTATAATAAAAAAAATAAATTAAAAGTTAACATTAAAATTAAATTTTTGATAACAATTTTTTTCCTGTTAAAAATATTGACCGAGGTAAAAATAATTTTTACATCGAGTAAAGAAAAAATTGCATGGATTACTAGAAATAAAAAGCAAGAGATTATAAAAAGTCAGAGAATAAAAGCAAAAAAAAAAGTCTTTTCTAACTCGTGATTAATCGCGGAGATATAAATCTCATAGCACACCTCAACAAGAGCTTTATTTCCCTATCGGGGATAAAAATTAACCGCAAACTTGTGTAAGGTCTCGGTAACTCGGGAACTTATTCATATGCACTTTTTTATGTATGTGTAGATGACCTCGAGAAAGGCAGGAGACCAATCACCAGCCACCTACCAAACACTCGACCAATCCTCACCACTTTCATCCCCTATTTTAACCCCACCGCTTAGAGAAAACGCGCGAATCGCATACCGCGGGTGTACTGTGCTTCCACCCCCAAAATGGCTGCGAAATCGCGCGGGCATTATAACCGGCGATCAAAATAAACGGGCGGATTAATTTGAGGGGTAAATTTGAGGAAAACTAAAGTGAAAAAAATAATAATAGTGTATAAGTTTACTACCACTACGCCCGCAGTTTTACTACTCCCTCACCTTGGGGTTTTTTTCTCTTCAAGGTACATATCTGGATAGGAGGCTGGAGAATAGTCTGTTGGTCACAAGGGGTTGCAGACACCAACCACGCAGAAGTACGTCGTGCGTTCACGGTTAAACATGTTTTAATCTTTAGCTTCCACGATCTATAAATAAATAATAACAATAATTAATTTGTTTAGTAAATTTACTTCAGAAGACAATTAAGATGTAATTTTTTTGTGAAAATTAAGATAAAAAATTAAATATAAATTGTTTTATTAAAAAAAAAAAAAAAAACAACTTGTGATTAATTATAAAATTAATATTTGATAAAAAAGAATTGTTTAATTGTGTGGTGAATTAAAAATGATGCAAGAACATAAATCATTCCTTATAAGAGATCTTTTGGGTGATGTACTAGCAGAACGTGTCCAGGGTAAGTTTTTAAAAATAAAATAATAGGAGTTGAGTTTATAAATAAGCGGTGTAAGTCAATGAACACGCGGTGACAAGTCAATAAATTAAGTATTTGTTATTATTCATAGGGATAGAGATAAATAAAAAAATAATAAATGCCGCGTGTCTCTTAACGGGGAAGCTCGTTACAGCAGAGCTCCTGGAGCGCAGGCATTATTTAATTGCCGTAAAAAGAATAGAGGATATGTATGTGAATAGGATAGGGGATTTACAAATTTACGGGGGTTATAAGACCCATCGAACGCCAGAATAAGAATAATTTGGTAGGAATACAAATTGTATACACAGATGGCCTGAGGTGTGGACAGATTCGTTAGGACTTGTTAGCCACTCGATTTCTCTGGACTGATTCAAATACACGACAATTTACGCCCCGCTGGGATCTATTCTTATTGGCTTAAATCTTATTATTGGAATCCGTAACTTGAAAAGTAGAAGTTGTTAATTATTTTTTTATTATAATTATTATTATCCTTACCATTTTTTGATATTATTTAACAAGTTTTCGGTTTGATAAGAAATGATAAATTCAATTAAATAATTAGATGATTCAGAAGACGACTCGGCGCTTCATTCAGACTCTGAAGACACGATAGATCCTGGAAGTAGTCCATGCACGAGATTGAGCAGCCCGAATCCTTTGTTGTCACCATCACCCGATCCGCAGGTTAATTCAATAAAATCTTGCGGCGGATCCACTTCGGGAGCTACTCAATCAGGACGTAAGCCTCGAAGAAGACGAACAGCTTTTACCCACGCTCAGTTGGCTTATCTTGAACGGAAATTTCGTTGTCAGAAGTATCTCAGTGTTGCTGATCGGAGTGATGTTGCTGATGCTTTGTCGCTGTCTGAGACTCAGGTTAAAACATGGTATCAAAATAGAAGGTTTGTTTTATTTTCTTTTAAAAGCTAAAACAAAAAATTAAATAATTTAATTTATATTTATATTTATATTATTTGATAATATAATAATTCAATAAATTTAATAATAGCTTTGCTATTTACAACATACATAAACATAGATAATTTTTTTCAAATAAATAAACTAAATGCATATATCGACGGTCTAATTAGCAAATTGTCTAACTCCATTTTAGAAGTCTTCCATTTGTACGAAAAAACAATTAGTTTAAAATTTATTATCACTTTAAAAAATAATTTAATATCTAATAGAGATATAATATTTTTGTTTGGATCATTCAAATAATTTATAGTTGCAACTCTCCATGGACTATTGCTACATCAAAATGTTAAAAATAACTCTCTAAAAAATAAAGAGTTAGACCTATTGCTAATTAGACCGTCGATATACATTCTTAATAATTATGTATATTTTTAAAATCATCAAAATTATTTATAATATGATTTTTTAGCTCTATTTTAAATATGTTTAATCGCTCTTTATTTATACGGCTGCCCAATTTTAAAACACAGTAACTGCAAAATTTTTACACCTGATTTTTTTTAGTATTGCTGCATTTCTTATACCTAACTTTTAGACCATAATTTTAAGTATTTTTTCTTAAAAATATTTATATTTAAGTATTTTCTATTCGTAAATCAAATTTTTTATCAATTAGGCGCGTAAACTTTTTTTTAATAAGAAAAATTTTTAAAAATCTTAAAATTATCAGTTAGGTACTGTGTTTTGAAATTGGACATTCTTATTTTAAATTTGGAGTTGTTCCTAGTTTCATAATACTTCTCATTCAGTTCAAATTCATTGTATAGATAATCAAGGTCTACCCTGAGCCTATTTTTTACTTTATGAATGAATAATTAAAAATTCTAACAAAAAAAAATGTTACAGAACAAAGTGGAAGCGTCAAAACCAGCTAAGACTCGAGCAACTACGGCACCAAGCGACGGTAGAAAAAGAACTCCTTGTCCGTGGTGTTGGTCTTCATCACGGCAGCATCGACGCTTATTGTCCGCCGTATTCCCAAACTGGAAACTCACCACATCCTCCGCCACCTCCTCCACCACCAGCACCTTCTTCAGCGTCCACCGCAGCCTTTTTATCCACCGCGGCGGCACTTTTTCGCAACGTTACATATGTTCACGGATGCCCGCTTTAACATCCATCTACTTCCATTGACTATCAATCATGGAACTAACTATCACCTTCTGTAAATATGTAATTATCAACTATTAGATCTCTTATACAATATTATTTGTCATCATCATTACAATTATTATCTGTGCAATTTTACTTTTATTTTTTAAAAATCTAATATGACTAAATAATAAATTATTCTTGTCATAAAATCATTATCAGTGTTATATTGTGATGCACTAAGTAATTTTTATTGTGCAATTTAATCTAAGTAACAATCTAATTAGTGTAATTATAAACTTAAATTGTAAATTGCAAAATCTTAAAATAATTTAAACTAAAAGCTTCTTTTACTTAGCTGCAATTTATTCTATAATAAAATAATTATAATTGTAGATAAAAACTAAAAGAATTAAATAATTAATAATTAACAATGTTATTATTTTTATTTATTCAAACTTACGGTCTTGTTAATTGTAACGAGTGTAGATATTAAGCGTAAGTGTATTGTAACAAAATAGAGCGTAGCCGCACGCGTCATGGAGCTAATTGAAGAAGGTAATTGGGCGAAACCGATACAAGTTAAGTGTCCTCTTGACAGCCACGCGGCTAACAGTATTATTTAAACACACATATTGTATTAGTATTGTGTTAATTCAATTACGGTCATGCAGATATTCTCCATATTCTTCCCAGCGAAGAGTAAGCTGAAAAAAAAACAGACAAAGCGAAAAATTATACCTCTTGATTTAATGATACAGGTTCTCGAGCGAGCTTTCAGAATCCTGTTGATGAGAATTATTCTGTATCGTTAATTAATTCTTATGCTAAACTAAAAACAAAAACTGTTAATTAATTTGAATATTTTCACCGTATGTACATACTTGAGTTACTAATTTGTCTGCGCCTTTAATAATTTACGTATAAGTGCACGATCTCACGCTGATTTTTTATTTTTCTTCACTCTCGAGCGCAAAATTCCCTTGTCTCATGGTTAGTATGTCGTCCTTTATACTGCACTATATGTACGGAAATAATGATAATAATTGCAGTGTGTAGTGTCCTATCATCAGGATATGCATATAAAACAACTTTAAATAAATAAACGCGACGATATTTGCACCCAGGGGGGTCTTACAGTGAGGCAACGAGTGTCAAGAGAGGTTTTTGTAATATCTAACACGTGCCTGTATCTGTGTACGTATATTGTGCATTGTTGCATGAGTTTTAGAGCTCTATATGTTGTGAGATAAGAGCTTGGGATTTTCTGGAGGTACTTGGGCACGCGCTACCATCTTTTTTCCTTTATACGCTAAAATTTTTTGGCTGTGCGTTGGTTCTTACTTTTAACTTTCGTATAAAACATTTTTTAAAAAATTAATTTTATATTCACTGAGAAAAAAAGCGCTACACAGAAAAAAAATTTGCTGAATCAAGTAAATATTTTTGAAGAAATTTATCTTCTTGATTTGAATAGAAAAATTCTTAAACTAAGAAATTTTTCTTGGCTTAAGTAAATTTTACTTGATTCAAGACAGTGAAACTCTTCACTGATAGAAAAATTTCATTGCATTTAAGAAGATTTCTTTGTATTTAAGAATTCATTTCTTAAACATCATTTTTTAGTATTTAAAAAATATTTCTTAGTGTTTAAGAAATGATTTCTTAATATCAATTCTTAATATTAATATAATGATTTCTATTATCATGATAGATATTGATATTTTTTTTTTTGTCAAAATACCAAAATTCATTTTAAAAGATTCTTGAGTCAATAAATTTTTTTCTGGACAAAAATTTTTTTTCTCTGTGTTCAATATTCTTCTTTTATCCTAAAAATTAAAAATATGTTGATAGTAAATCTTTAGAATATTTTTAAGTATGAATCTAAAGTAAAATATTGATATAAATTTAGAAGTTTTAAATCATTCAAAGGATATCAGACAAAAAGCTCGTTGTTAATTTTTTATAAAAAAAATTCAACTAATTGCCGGTTGACGACATCACGGTGGTATATTAACGTTATACCATCTCGCCGGAGGCGAAAGAAAGGAGATGAAAAAATGTAAAGAGCCAGAAGTTAAGGGGAAGCTGCAGGAAATCCAGAGCTTAGGTTATTTTATATATTTTTATATATTCATATTTATACTTGTACGTATTATATATGTATATATATATAGGTATGTACTGCAACAGAGATACGTATGCACATCGTTCTATTTTGAACGAGGAATAAAGGAATAAGGAAAGGTAGAAACCGAAGCAAAGGGTCGAGTGTAACGAAGCTCCGACTTTTTAATTGGAATATATTCAGATACCGGAACGCCTTTTCATCGGAGACTTGATGCTGTGAATGCTGCCTGAATATCGCATACCATCCTTACTTTTTATACTTATACACTTTTATATCTGTATTCTGTATAACAGTTTTTCAGCGAACCAGAGTCTGACTATTACTGATACCACTACTTCTTTATACGGGTCTTTTTTTCTTTTTCACCGGTTCTTCATGCTTTCTTCTATTATGTATACTGTAATACTTATTATGTGATACATAATAGTTGGTTTCACATTTAAATGCATGAAATAAAAGATCTGAAATTAAATTATGTTAAATATCTTTTTTTAATTGTATATATCAAATGTATTCATGTTATCTGATAAAATCAATCAATTTAAATGAAAATTTAATTATAATTTTTAACTAATAAATTATATCAAGAAAGATTTATTTAAAAAATTTCATCTTTAGAAGCTCTTAAAAATTATTAATAAAATTTTTTAGACATAATTTATTTTTCAAGAAAATTTAATAAATTATCAAATGCTAATTAGCAGAAATTAATTTATGTAATTTAATTTAGTATAGACATTTGATAATTAAAAAAATTTATGTAACAAATAAATTATGACAAAGAAAAAAATTATTAAAAAAATTGACATGTAGAAATTAAAAAAAAATGAAAAATGCAATTTTTTTTAAATAATTTTTTGGAAAAAAATTTTTTTAATAAATAAAATTAAAAAATTGTCAAGTGACGGCTTACTTCAATATAATTAATTTCAATGTCATAAAATTTAATTGTTATTATTGTTCAGAAAATAATTTTGATTTTTTTCAATTGCTTTGGCTATTTGCTATAATGTGCAATTCTTGAAAAAAAAAAAAAAAAAAAAAAAAAAAAAATAAATAAATAAATAAATAAATAAATATAATTAGGTGAAAAAAAAATGTATATTTATGATTGTTTTCAATAATAATTTTTACCTGATCAAAAAATAAAATTCAATTACAATTATTTTCTTGATATTATTTATGGAAAAATAAATTAAAATTTTTATAAATATTTATTTGTAATTAAAAAATAAAAAGTGTGACAATGATGATTATATATGTATTAATATATTGAAAGTATTTATAGCAATGGAAATATTTGATTTAGCAGATTAATTAAATTTTATTGATTGGCTGGGTAGAGGTCAGCACATTCGCCAAAAAAAGAAAATATTAAAATAGTTCTAGCTTGGTCATCTAGGTGGCGAAATTTTCTGATACTTATTTCCGGAGAGTGTTTGTCAAAATTCGTTTATTTTATATTATTGTTAGCTAATTTTTTGTTTACTGATATAATAATGACAGATGTAGATAGTTTACGAGAAGCTATTGAACAATACGAGGCTCAGGTACGTATTTACAAATCAATATTAATAACCAGAGCTCCAATACCAATCAATAAATACAATGTTGTATTGAACGAATTTTTTTTTGGTTAATATTATCTTTTTTTAAAACTTTTTATTCTTACTTTTATGATGTACTCAATCAATGAATCGGTGGGTAGCTGTCTCAAGTTCAATTGGCACTTACCACTGCTACTGAAGGACACGATAAAGATAATTTACTTAGTCTTCAATCGGATATTCAAGAGCTTATTGCGTTAACTAAAGAAAGTTTACGAAGTGCTGAAGGAAAGGACACTAGTGATAATGAAGATGATGGTTTGTCTGACAGTCAAGATGAAGAAGACGATCCCATGGCTAAAGAATATGCAATGTTTAAGGTATTTATTTGTTTTTAGTTTTCACAGAAGTTAATTGTCAAAATTATTATTTTTTTTTTGGAAATTTATAGGCTGAATTAGAAGAAGAAGAAGAAGAGTCAAAAACTAAAGACGAGAATGAGCAACAGGAGTCATCATCTAATAGTAATTCAATAGAAGTCAGTAAAAAAATATCTGGTAATGCTTAAAAGGGGGAAGATTATTATTTATACGATGCAAGTTAATATTGTAGGATGATCTTAAGACATTAGAAGGTATGAAATGTCGTGCTCCACATGGTAGCAGCTGGGGTGGCACTGGTTTTCACAATGCCATGGTTTCTTCTATCCTTAGACATAATCAAGATAATATTACCAGTATTAATGATATTATGGTAAACATTTTTTTGTTTTATATATTAAGTAATTAATGATACTGAAATTAACAATGAAAATTAAGTTAGCAGACATCTAAAAATTTTTAGAATTTTTTTTTAATGAAATTATTACAAAAAAATAAAGCAAAATTTTCATTTGTAAAAAACTTGAAAAACTGTAAGTGCAATTTTTAAAAAATATTTTTTTTTCTATTCTATAATTTATTTTTAATTAAAATAAAAAAATTATTAGATGTCTGCTCATTTCAGTATCATATTTATTTATTTATTTATTTATTTATAAATATAGTGAAATAATTAATTTACATTTTTTCAGGTCAAAGTATTATTCATTAACCCAATTCATAAAGAAATGTTACCATGTTCATACTTTCTTAATGGATCATGTAAATTTTCTGATGATAAATGTCATTACTCACATGGAGAAATAGTCCCGTTTTCTAGTTTACAGGAATACAGGTAATGTTTTGTTAGATTTATGCATCGTATTTAAATTAGCCGTCACTAGACAATTTTTTAATTTTCTTTAATAAAAAAATTTGTTCCGAAAAATTACTTTTAAAAAATTTAATTTTTTTTTTAATTTTTGCATGTCAATTTTTTTCTTGTAATAATTTGTTAGATACAAAAATTTTTAAAATGATCAAATATCTGCTAAATTAATTTTCATAATTTATGCATGATAGTGTAATTATAAATTGATGGACAATTTAAAATATATTGACAGAGAGCCTGATTACTCAACGATAAAAATGGGTAGCCGTGTATTAGGTAAAGATAAAAATGGAATATGGCACAGATCTGTTGTAATAAAAGCACCCGAGAAAGAAGGCGATTATTACCGAATAAAATTTGAATCTAGTGGTAACATTTTAGAATTAGATATCCATGACCTTTTACCACTTTATGACGATGAAATATTAGCTATGTCTGACACGTCAGACAGCGATGAATCCGACGTAAATTATAATAATCAACAAGATATTGACAAAGATAAAAATAATAAAGAGGAACTAATCAATAAATCACTGTTTCAATTGAACTCAACGGAGCCGCTCGGCAAGTGGGAGCAACATACTCGTGGAATGGGAAGCAAATTGATGGCACAAATGGGCTATATACTAGGTACTGGATTAGGCAAAAAGTCTGACGGTCGGGTAGTACCAGTTGAAGCAACCGTTTTGCCTGCTGGCAAATCTCTAGATCACTGTATGAAACTCCGCGAAAATGCTGGAGGCGATGAAAATTTATTTACCGTTGAGAAGAGGATGATGAAACAGACACGTAAGCTGGAAAAACAGCAGGAAAAGCAGTATCAGAGAGAAAAAACCCGTGATAAAAATGTTTTTAATTTTATTAACAATACCCTTGGTGATAAACGTAAGTTTTAATATTTATTTATTAGATAATAAATAAATAAATAAATATTATATCATGATTTTTTAAGGACTTAATTTATTTATTTAGAGTGTACTAATAAAATTTTATTTTTTACAGCAAAAGATAATAGCAAGCCTAGCAGTTCAAATAGCAGAAAAAGTTTAAAAACAGAATCAACTCGCGATTTAAATGTCGCGAGCTTCCGAATCAGCGAAGATATCACGAAACTCGAACGTGAATCATCCAAACTGATGAACTCTTTGGGGAAACATCCCAAAGGAAGCATTCCGTATAACAATCTCGTTGTACAATATAATGATAAACAAAATAAACTGACGCATTTACGTTCTAAACAGAAAAATATAACGGCTGAACAGAATGACAGAAAGGATAAACTAATTATATTTTGATGTGTAAACATTGTAATTGTATTTATTGATTGTCTATCTTGATAACGCATTCACCCTGTATATATATTGCTTACGTGCACTTATTAATAATAAATATTAATTACAAATATATATTACAACCCTTATATCTGTACTACAATCTTTTTTTTTGTCTTTACCTGTTATGAATTCATGTCACTCATTGTATAGTCAATGAGTATTAGTCATTCTAGAAATTTAAATAGCGCGCTACGCACGTGCTTCAATTTTAACCAATGACGAATATTGTCTCGATTTTTTTTGCGACTTTCGACTAATGACTAACTTCAAAACTTTCTTGTATTTTTATTTAGAGGGTTTATTTACCCTCTATCTATCAGATTCAATTGTGAAGTTGTTGACAATTTTTAATTTTTAATTTATACAGAATTAAATTCACAATGGAAACATTCACCAAGTATGTTCAATTGTTTTTGATTATTGAAATAATTCAAGTGGTGGAGATTATTTTTTACAGTGGAATAATAATTGTATTTTTATAATTTTAGATTGGAAAAATGTGAGGTGTGTGATAAGATTCTAGCAAAATACACGTGTCCTAAGTGTGAGGTTAGAACATGCAGTCTGGCATGTTGTCAAATACACAAGAGAGATTTGGAATGCAATGGGATTCGTGATAAAACTAAATTTATTCCTTTACATAAATTTACAGATTTGGATTTAATTAGTGGTAATTATTTTATTTTATATTATTGAAACTTAATTAAGTGACTGACAAATATTTCATTTTTATTTACGTATTGATTAATTTTATATTATTTTTATTCTTCTAGATTATAGAGTACTTGAAGAACTCGGCAGGACTGTAGATCAATTACAAAGAGATGGATCTAAGTCATTCAAATCTTCCAATAACTTTTCAGCAGTAATTAAATTTTTATTTTGATTTATTGATTTTTTAATAAGAGATTATTCTTACTGTTAATTATTTTTCAGCGTGAATGTAAATTGAAACAAAGAGCCTCACAGAGTGGAGTAAAATTAGAATTTTTACCGAAAAATTTCAGCAGACACCGAGAAAATACTTCATATTTTAATTGGAAGTCAAAAGAATTGTTCTGGACAATAGAGTGGATTTTTCCTCAAGCTGAAAATATTAAGTGGATTTCTAAAAAGTATGTCTTTATATACTCATTTAATGTCATTGAATTAAAAATAATAAAATTAATTTTCTTCAGGGTTTTAGAAACAACTAGGCTTTCTGAACTTGTGGAAAATGTCCTGGACCCATTGAATTCTTCAGAGAAAGACGATGATGAGGCAAATAAACGAATACTCAGTGATAAATTACAATTTTATCGCGGTGCAGGATTATCTGGCTTAGAAATTTTATTAAAAGCCGAAAAAGTTGAAAAATCAAGCTCAAGATTTTATAAATTAGATCCAACGTCTAGCTTACAGAAAAATTTATCAAATAAAATAATTATAGAGTTCCCAACTCTGCATATAGTTTTTAAAGATCATGTTGATATGTATGAAATAGTTGACTCAGGTAATACACACTTCCTTAAAATTGTAAATAATATTTCTTATGTATTTTAATTAATATTCTTTTAATAGATGACGAAGATGCCAAGGATTCAATTGACCAGCCACAAAGTTATGGTAATAAACGTAAGAGACATCAGCAAAATAACAAAAACAGTGATAAGCGGCCTGTAAATTATTTATTTCATCACGATTCATCAGACTCAGAAGAAGAGACTAATAAAAATAACGACGGAAATTTTAGTCTATCTAGTATTCCTAATTACTATGACTTTGTACAAACGTAATAATTATAAATAAATTTTTTATAATAATTATGATAATTATTTATTATTATTTCATACAAATATTTAATATACTTATATTACGTTTAAAACTTCAATACAAATTTATATGATCAAGAAAATATACAATTTCATCTAGTATTTGAAAACTTTATTTATCAGTCAATAAAATCGATAGACTGGTGTTCTCATTATATTATCAAAGGAAAAGTATTACAAATCAGTTGAACATTCCAACTAGTATTTTATTATATGTAACCCTTAATTTTAAATAAATAGTTTTATAACTTATTGAAATACTTTTTTACCCATATACGAATTAAATAATCACACTAAATTATATTGGTAGTAACAATATTAAAAGAAGTTAAATTCCAATAAATGGACAACTGACGTTTATAAAGCCACAGCAACACCAATTATAAAAAAAAATTAAATAGTAATTAATTATTGATCTTACAAAATGAAAAAGTATAATAAAAATACAAGGAATGCAACTAAACCAGCGACAGCTTTAACATACATTGACTTACTGTTTAAATTTGTCGCATTTTTTTTGTACTTTTGTGATAGCATGGAAAGGTTTTGAGTTTTCGAGTCCAACTCTGTAAATAAAAATTAAAATATTATGTTAATTAATTATGAAAATTAAGTTAGCCGACATTTAAAAATTTTCATAATTTTTTTTATTAAAAAAAAATAAAAAAAAAAATTCATTTGTAAAAAACTTGAAAAACTTCAAGTGCAATTTTTAAAAAATATTTTTTTGTTCTAATTTAATAAATAAAAAAAAAAAAAAAATTAAAAACGTCGGTTAACTTTAGTGTTATATTTAATTTAGCAGATATTTGATAATTTTATGAATTTTTTTAACAAATGAATGCCAAAAAAATTGAGAAAAAAAAAATTGAAATATTAAAAAATAAAAAATGCAATTTTTTAAAAATAAATTTGTTTGTTAATTGAAATAAAAAAAATGTTCAAGTGCCAGCTAATTTAAATGTAATTAAAATATTAAATATAAACCTGATAAAACAGTTCCTCGTTGTAAAACATCGTCAATATTTTGAACCATAATCCTCTGTACATCTTGGAGTTGACTATTGAGTGTGTTCATATTTCTCCTTGACCTTCCATCGGAGAAAGACTTTTTAGCTTTCTGAATATACGTATCAAATTCAATAAATGTATACGGTCTGGTCACTGTATTGACACGCTTTCCATACTGTGCATAAAATTCTTGTGCAATATCTTCTAAATAACTGTAAGCCAGACGTTTGCTCCAATTTCTTTCACAAAGTACCAAATAACACACGTCATTCTCGATCAAATAACTAAAATAATGAAATTACTTTTATAGTCATAATTACAAGGATCTAATTAAATAAAAAAATAAAAATACTATTTTAAACCTACTGAAAGAGATAAGGACCAGTTTCTATAGTACACCTAGCCGGAGACTGAGGTCCTAATTTTCTAAACAACATTTTGGCTTGGTTCTGATACTCCAGTATGCTTTTCCCACTCTACAAAAATAAACAATTGAGTTACGATGTAAATAATAATAAAAAAAATTAATATTAAATAAATAAATAATAACTAACCTGCTCATCCTCTTGCATTGTCGCAGCAAGCGGTAGTCCATCTGCTATCCTGGCAATCATTGTAAGTAACACCATTTTAAAATATTTTTGTTTGGCTTACTGTGCATAAAATACCAATAGACACTTTGTTTAAAAAATACGTTCTCTATTAATAGTTACTGTCTTTTATTTAATACTGGCTAAGAAATAACAACAGTCATTTAGTTATTCTGTACTCTGTACTGAATATAACATCAACTGGTTCGCGCTATCACCATTCACGGCTAACCACGTCAGTCAATTCAAGTCCACCATTTGTGTTATTCCTTTTCTAACTTCCAACTCATCATCACTTACATTTTCTTATTGTATTAGTACATACGCATACATATATACATATTTATTGCCCCCACTTAAGTTAATTATTTTATTTCTTCATTAAATAATTGTGTAATTTTAAAGTAATCATTAAAATCAAACTATAATTCTTTTATCAAATTTATTTTATAAATTATTTACATTTTTTGACGTCTAAATTTAGCGATTGTAAAATTAATAGTTTTTTTTTTTATTTTTAACTTAAAATTTTTATTTTTATTCACAAATTAATTGTTTATAATTTTTTATTAATTATTTAATGTTTAAAAAAATTAATAAAATATTTTATTTAGTATTTTTTATAAAATTAATATTTTTAAAATAACGTTTTGATTTTTATTGACAAATTAATTACTTATAATTTTTTATTAATCATTTAATGCTTTTAAATGGTTAAAAAAATTATTAAAATATATTATATTTTATATTTTTTATAAAATTAATATTTTTAAAATGACGTTTGTAATGTAACACTTATCTAGAATAAATAATTCAGGTCTCTATATAGTCGTCTTATTTAAACGATAAGTTACCAACTGAATTGAAAAAAAAAAATAAAAAAATAATGTGTAAAGAGACGCCACCTTTAAGAAAAAGGAGAAAGAAGGACACGTCAAACGTCCGCGTGGACATGATGATAGTTAAAAAGTCAATGTATGTAGATAATAATTACACATACATATAAGTCTATCTCTCTCAGGATCGTGCTCGTGATCCAGACAATAAAATAAAATAAAATAAAATACTAAAAAAAAAGCGAATGAATTTTAGTGAGAGGAAAATAAAATAGTGACGTGCTTCTGTAACCCGCTTCACCACCTCTTGACACCGTGATACCCTTCAGTTCCCTCACCCCAATAAATGGAAATATGTCTACTTTCTCGTAAACTTTGTTCAGCTATTTAATTCCACCCAGATTGTATTATCAAAAAACCATTAAATCACTTACTATTGTTCCACAATCATTTTTATTAGTTTTAAATATTAATAACAGTGTTACGTAATTGGTAAACAAATTAAATATTTTAAAATAATGCGTTTAAGCGCATTTAAAGTTATCTGAATATACACCGGACACAATTATTTCAGTAAGTGAATAAGTGCACATATACAAATGTAATCAGTGAATCAAATATCGACTTTTTTAATTTCTTGTCATGTACTGTTAAATTTTAACCAGCTGCTAGTAGTAATTTGTTTTTTATTTACTGTTAATAATTCTTTTTGTTGTTAAATTTATTGTAAAAAAATTACTTGACATTATGCTTTCTCACTATTTTTGTTATATAAGTAATAAGTAATTATAAAGTACATTAACTTTTTTGTTTTTATCATTATTGTAATAATATATTTTTTATTTTACACAATTTTTAAATGAAAGTGAGTTAATAATAATGTTTATATTTTTACTCTATAAAATTAAATTATTTTACATATTTCAGGTTAAAAAATTGAATATTCATTGTGAAGAGTTGTCTGGGTGCTAGCATGAATGTAAGTCCAGTTAATTTTTATTATTAATCAATTTATTTATTTAAAGTAGATAATTAAATTTAAATATTTCACAATTTTAGAATCCGTATCGAGCAAGAATAGGTAGACAGCGAGTAGATCACTCTGCAACAGCAGCAGTCCCAAGTTATGGAGCCAGAAACCAGAATTCATGGCCTGGAATGACTGGCAACCAGACTCAGCCAGTTATTGGGGGAGCTAATCAATCAAATAACGTCGATAACGACTCTTGGGACTGGAACACAGACAACGCTGACAATAACAATGATTCTTGGAACTGGAATATCGATCAATCTGCAGAGCAGACTCAGTTGCACCCTCAACAGCAGCAACAACAGCAGCAGCAGCAGCAGCAGCCACCACCTGCCCACGGGTCTAATTACACAACTATGAGACCAACTCATCAGAATTTGCCTCAAGACAATTCAAATTATTACACCAACATTAATGGAAACAGACAAGTTTTAGCAGGCCAACATCAATTGCAGCCAACACAAGCTGGAAATTTACCACCAACTAGAGAACCAACGCCTCAGTTTCCAAATTTTCCAGCAAATCAGAGCCAACCAACGCCACCGAGAACTAGCTCGACTAATTCTAGTGTTAGTGACACTCAAAATCAGGCTCAGTGGCAAGCTAATCAGCAGCAACAAGGGATTTTTAATCCTTACGCTCCTCCCAGATCATCATTTGAAGCGACCAATCAGCAGCAGACTCAGCAGTTTAATCCAAATGCTTACAACTGGAATGGCGTTGAGCAGTCTGGAGGTCAGAGTTGGCCGAGTCAAACTACTGAGCCGTTCTGGCATGATCAAAACTCCAATAAAAGAGAGGATTATCATGCTGAAGTTGATAAGAGTAGGCAGCAAGTGCAGGTGCAAGAGCAATTTAATAAATCACCACCTCAAAACCCGATAAAAGAAATTCCTGGTCAGTGGCAGGCTGATAATCATGACAATAATCAACTGAAAGCGCATAGCCAGGAACCAGTTGCGCCTAATCAGTGGCGTGAAGATGCTCATGATAGAAGAGGAGTTGAAGCTCAAGCTCAATTTATCCCAAACCATCCAAGGCAACCGGATAATTTTAACCAATCGTGGTCGCCAGTTAGTCTTCAGCCAAATACTAACTTGAAACCCGAAGTGGATAAAAAATTGGATGTTAATTTGGGTAATTATTCTACTCCAGCAAGCTTACAAGACACAGCAATAGAAGAACAAAATGTTCCTGTCTTCACTTCAAGCCAAACTTCAGTTCTTGATACTACAAGTAATTTATTCACAGTGCAGAGTACTGGAATGGAGGCTAAAATTAATGACAAAGTAGATCGTCGGAATATCGACTTGGTTAAAACTGACAATATGATCGACATTACAACCAGTGTTAAGCAATTAAATATTGAAGATAAAGATCCACACTCTCAGCACCAATTTGAAAGCCACCCACCGCTGTTTCCTGTTCATTCAATGGCTCAGCCAGTAGAACAGTGGCCTAATCAGTCGATCCAATCAATAACCAAACCTCCGGAATCTTTAACTTTGTCTAGTCAGCATATTGCTCAAACAGCAGACCACTATACACCTGTTTCATTTGCATCTTCTGAAAGCAGACATCAAACTTATGATCCAACTAGCCCCCCAAGTATTAAATCTCACGAATTCTCTCCCCAACAGCCAACCATTCAGTCGCATGAGTATGCAGTGCCTCTAACTTCTGCTCAGTCGTCTTATTACTACCAAGAGTCGTTTACTAGCCACCAAACGACTCCTGTAATGAACACTCCTGAAGCTTCTGGATCACCAAGTTTGCCACTGCATCAGATTGTTCAAAAACCTCCGTACAATCCTTTAGACAGTACCATGCCTTATCCAATAAACACTGAGAGTGTACAAGTGCCTAGTGAAGTACCTAAACAAATGAATCTTCCTCCTGCTGGTGAAGTTAGAGGTGTACCAACGACTAAAGCTGGCTATGATCAATGGTACAATCAGAAGACAAGTCCACCACAGAATGTCAGGTATCCAGTCGCTGAAAGAAGTGCTTCTATGCAACAGCTAAAAACTTGGATGCCTACAGAGCCAGTGGATAATTATGAAGTTTCTAAATCAAGTGAATTTATTAATGATGTCAAGTCTTCGGTGACTGAACCTAAGTTTCACGAGCGACTGAGTTCCGTTAAAGAATCTAGGGAAGATGATAAAAGTTTAATTGTTACCGAGCCTACTATTAGAAATTCAATGGAGCAAACTGGTCATCCTGCAAATCAGCAAGTTAATCCTGTTCAAAAAATCCAACCAGTAAATCAACAAATTAATCAGCTAATTCAATCTCAGCATGAGCAAGCGCCAGAAAATTATGAATTTGCATCTAACGACAGAAACACATTCCTCGAAACTGGTGAGCTGACTGATTTGCATCACGATCAAGGTGTACCATCATCTAATCACGATGAAGAAAACGATGAAGTTCCTGGTGATATTCCATTTTTGAGAGAGGTACCGGGTCAATCAAGCTACGGTGATCCGCGACGTAACGACCCTACTGGTCAAGAGCAATACGTACAGTCTAACCGTAATTTAGATTCCAGAAGAAACCCTCCAGAGCCGGTTCTAAACACTCAGCCTCGGTCTATCGCCATAGCACCATCCGATCGTACAGAACGCCGTGACGTTCCTTCTGGTCAAGAGAGACGAGAAAGCAGACTCCTGTCTCGCGATACAGAGACACCCGAGCGTAGAAACGATCCTTCGGGAAGAGAAAGGTCATTTCCGCCTTCGCAGTCACGCAATGACCCCTCAGGCGAGGAGAGAATCCAGTCTCAAAGTCAAATTAATCTGGAGCCTGCTGAAGTGCGTCAAGTACCTGGTAGCGGAACTAATTCCGTAGAGCCTCCGCCGTCAGCTGAGGTAGTACGTCAAATAACTGGCGGTGTGTCCCGTAATGAGCCGGTTATTCCAGAAGACAGCAATGCCAGAATTGTAACGGGATCCCAGCAAGTTCTACCAGCAGCCAATTTAATGCAAGACCTGCCGTCTAACGAGACTAGGAATAAACGCGAAGAAGCCGTTGGTGCTTCAATTGAAAATCCTCCTGGTGTTACTGCTTCTCCAAAGCGTCGAGATTCTTATCAAGACGGAGATGATGAAGAGTCTGGAAACAGTCGCGATGATAACCGCGAGAGACGTCGGGAGCCCAGTCCTACTGACAGGCGTCGTTATGATTACGATCCTAAAGGCGACAGGAGTTACTACGACCGCGATAGGGAGTATGATGATGATTATTATTACGAAAGAAGGCGTGGGCATGATTTTGAACGGCCTTACAATTCAAGGGAAGACTTGGACCGACGTGATGCGTCATTTAGAGAAGGTGATCGCCGTCATTTGAGTCGCGATGACCTGGACGATCGCAGGAGGCTTAAAGATGATGATAGAAGGGGTCATAGGAGCGAGGTTGATCCCAGACGTCGCGATACTAGAGACTATGAACCATCCAGGTATCCGAAAGATAGGGATTACGACCGCAGGAGAGATGAGCGTCGTAGATATTATGGTGATTATGATCAGAGAGACCCCAGAGACCCTAGGCGCGAGTTCTATGATGATCCGTACACTCGCAGCTCCAGACCTTCCAGCAGGTCTTCTTACAATGACCGAGAACGCGATTTCTACGGACGGAGAGACCCCTACTATGGATACAATGGCTACAACACTTATGACTTTGGAACTAATTACAATAATAATTACTACGCGTACTTAGAAAACTTACGGAGGACTAATCCTACTGCTTATATGGAATGGTACAATAAATATTATGGGAACCAACAGCATAATATCAGTACTGTCAGTCGGGGTCCAAGTTATCCTGAGGACCGAGCTAGTGTTCATTCGGGAAGGAGTTCCTGTGATGACAGGTAATTTATTTTGATGATTTTTAAAATTTATTTACTTAATTAATAATTGTCTAAAATGTCCCTTATAAAACACTAATATTTTATTATTACACACATATATTAATACCAGATTGAGAAAGTCAACCGTTTGCTTCCATACACCAAACAAGTCTTTATATGTGCCCTATTTTGGATACCCCATTTGGACTAGCAGTCCTGTACACAGGAAACGCCCTAATTGTTGTCGTAAATTGATTAGGTGAGACGGTTTAACGCGCTACGAATTAATCCCTGATATTACGAAAATTTATCGTAGGCCAGAAGTAAACATGCTAGAACGCCCTCATTTTATGCTACAAATTTAATAATTTTTGCTTTGGTAATTTCATTTTTGTTTTTTTTTTATTAATAAAAAAATTACTTGATTCACAGGACAAACAGTGGAAAACATACCATTGGAGATATTTCTTTATTAGAGGATTCAAGAATTGTATCACGACTTACTCCAACTAAATTTTCAACATCTCACGTTCAAGGTAAAATAAAGAAAAAATAAAAATTTTTCATCATTTAAAATTAAAGAATATTTTTTGACGAAATTAATTTTTTATAGGATCATTTTCAATTGGTTCATTGGTACAAGTTCATGCAAGTTATCCTGCAGATGGAGAGCGTGCTAGAGTTGATATTGTTCAAGTAGACAGTTTGTTGGTGCATGATCCAATTACTCGGGAAATTCGTGCTTATCCGGGACCATTGGTCAAGTAAATAGAAACTTTTATAAATTTATGAAAATAAATATTATTATTATTATTATTATTATTAATTTACTTATTTATTACAGGGGTGTTACACACAAGAAGACGATTATAGAGTACTGCGAAGCCAAAATAAAAAAAGCAGCTGTAAACGATGAACTTATTGACCATGCCTCTTATATTTTGCTGTACCAGCTGATGATTATGCTTATTCAGCAGAACGGCGTAAGTTAAAATTATTTAAAAATATTATTCAAATAAATTTGATTGTAACTAACAAATATTTTAATTTAGAACGTTGTTGGTGTGGATATTGCTACGCTCTTGTTGAAAAACAAAGAAATTTATCCTTACGACGCGCATAAAACAAACCACAAGCCAATACGCCGTGAATCAACAATTTCACAGCGGTCTGGTGGCGCAGGACAAGAAGGATCAGTGCATGAAAAAGTGGCACAAGAAATAGAAGAAGTAAAACCAATGAAGACTGTCGAGCAGATAACAAATGAGTTTAGAAACACTTTGCTGTGTGGTCTAGTTCAAGAAGCTTTAGAGTACGCGATGACTGAAGGTCTGTGGGGTCATGCACTGTTCCTCGCAAGTAAACTAGACAAACGTACACATGCATCTGTCATGACCCGCTTCGCCAATAGTTTGCCGGCTCAAGATCCTCTTCAGACTTTGTACCAACTTCACTCGGGTCGAGTACCAGCGAGCGTAACTTGTGTCGCTGACAGTAAGTGGGACGACTGGCGCCCACACTTGGCCATGATTATATCAAACACATCAGCTAATCCGGAAATAAATCGCCGCGCGATATCAACTCTCGGTGATACACTTACAGCGCGTGGTGATATTCATGGCGCGCATTTCTGTTACATACTAGCGCAAATTGATTTTGGAATTTATGCAACACCTGGTGTTAAGCTCGTGCTAATTGGGTCAAATCACCACAAATCTTACGCTGAATTTGCCACTCTCGAAGCGGTAATGCTCACGGAAATTTACGAGTATGCACGGAATTTAAGCGAGCCAGGTTTTACAATCATTGGACTGCAAACATTTAAATTTGAAATTGCTCAAAAAATGGTTGACCATGGGCTGATTGAAAAAGCATTGCTCTATCTAGAACAAATAGCAATTAACATTGTGCAAGAGCCATCCAAATACAAGGCATCGTTCATCCAAAATGTTTACACATTGAGCGAGAGGATAAAGTTCCATGATCCAGTTTTTAAAGACTGCATTGAAGACGTCGCTACATTAGCTTGGCTCAATAATTTGAGTGATATTGTGGGTCGTTGCCAGACAGGCGAAATTGTTCAAGAATCAACTTTTAGCGCTCGCACAGATGCACCAAGTGTCATGCAGGACCACGAGCAGCGTGACACTCAGCAATGGAATTATCAGCAGGATTATTCCAACGCTCCGGTTTCTATGATGGAGGTTCCTTCTGTCGATACTAATCAAGACACATGGCAACCTATGTCTCTCCCTAATACCTTGCAAGAGCCTTATGTCGCCGAGCAAAATATTCAGTATGGACAGAATGTCGATGGCAATCAGTATCATCATCAGCAGCAGCAGCAACAGCAGCAGCAGCAGCAGCAGCAGCAGGAACAACCGCAAGAATATTGGAATCAACAGACTTACAATCAAAATTATTCGAGGGATTATAACTCTGATTGGCAACAACCGTCCAATCAAATGCAGTATCACGGTGAACAAAATGATGTTGATTCTGCTCAAGCTCCTGGATGGAATTACGAGGTGAGATAATTATTTAATTATTTGTTTGATTTTATACTAGATAACATTTAAGCAAATATTGACTTAAATTATTAAAATATTTTAATAATTAAAATTTGTAAATTTCAACTTTGGTAAATATATACGGAAAAAACAAGATGACACTGGATATCATCCCAGATTATACTGAATGAAAAAAATTTCAGATAGCAGTTAGTACAATCCAGATTTTTTTTAGCTACTATCTGAAATTTTTTTTCATCACAAATATCATTGAGTATAATCTGGGATGATATCCAGTATCATCTTGTTCTTTCGGTGTAAGTTATAATTTGAAATAACTTTTATAAAAAAGTTTTAATTTTTGAGGTAAAAATTTACCAAAGTTTTAATTTATAAACTTTAATATGGTCAATCACAACTCTGACAATAAATTTATAAAAGAATTAAGCCTAGACTAATAATAATAATAATAATAATAATAATGCATGTTGGTTGTGTGATTTATCATGACTACATTGGATGACATGATAAAAAAACTAGAGTATTTATAAATTTTTATTATATTCATGCTTTCATCAGTCTGATAAGGAGGAAAAACCACCAACACCTGAAGTAAGTACATTCACCACTGCACCATCAAATTATAATAATATTAATGATAATAAAATACTGATGGATGCTTCTTCCTATGCAAATACACTAAATACAATTCGCCGTCGTAAAATTCGGGCTAAAAATCAATTAATAAGCAATGATTTTCGATCAAGCACTGAAGATGATTCACGACCTAATGATACAACTATTTTTAACACCGAAAAACCACGAAGATTAGTTAAGTATCCAAAAGTAACTACACCATTTCCAAATATTATGGATGCCAAAAAATTGCCAACTGTTAGCAAACAAAAAAAGATAGATCCCAAGTATCTGAAGCCTCCGTCAGCCCAGCCTCCAGTTTTTCTTAAATGCAAGCCTCAGATGAAGCCAACGTCCAGTGAAGAGACTGATGAGGAGCCTAAAGAAGACGACGAGGAGGGTGAAATCGGTGAAGACGATGATGAAGAAGAGCAAGACGAAAATGTTCTGAATAATTACAAAAACCCAACGGACTTGGATATTCAGCTCAGTAAAATGAAACTTGAGTCCTTTGACTTGACAACTACCACATCCAGTTCTTCTTCTTTTGAAGTTGATAAAAACCTTGGGCGGTTGAACAATCGCGGGCAGACACTCGAGCAGTACTGTAATTTTGATGAGAAAAAAATCGTCAGAGTAGCACCGCATATAAGGAGGAAAGATGTCATTTGCGATACTGTAGATGCTTGGTCATACAATGAATCAAACGCGGCAAATTCGGGGTATAAGCCTATTATTTTTGGTGGAACGTTTAACATCGACGTTCCAGCTGCTAATTATGTTGATAATAAACTAAATAATCAAGTTAATAAAACACGTGTGCTTCCTGGTAAACGTATATCCAAAACCTTTGACATAGATGCTCCAGTGATATATGATGAATAATTGAATGAACCAATTCATTAAATGTAAATCAAATATTATATGTGTGAAAAATGTTTTTAACACAATAATACAATATTATTTTATGTTTAGTACGGCAGCTCAATTTCAAAATACAGTAACTAACATTTAAATATTTTTCTTATTAATTAATGAAAAATTTGATTTATAAATAGAAAATACTTGAATATAAATATTAGGGTGGCGCAAAAAAAAACCGACTATTTTTTTTTTTTTTTAGTCTCGAGTGAAAAAATATTAGTTTTTGATGTTTTAAGAGCTCTCTCCAAAGGACAGCTTATTTTTTTAAATTTCAAAAATCGATTTTTTTTTCTCGTTACGTCACAATTTTATAGACCAAAAAAAAAATAGTCGATTTTTTTGCGCCACCTTAATAAATATTTTTAAGAAAAAAAACACTTGAAATTAAAGTTTAAAAGTTATAAAAAATGCAGCAATATTGAAAAAAAATTAGGTATAATATTTTTGCAGTTACTGTATTTTAAATTTGTGCAGCCTAGTAGATCAATTGATCGAAAGGGTATTTACAATTACAATTGCTTTTATTAATTTTAATTAGTGTGAATTAAAAATATTATTTTATTGATTATTTATTGATATTTATAAATGTTTTATTTTAATCTTGGATGATTAATTGACGTGTATAAGAAGTGTTTAAATAAATGACTTTGTTGTGTTTAATAATGTCTTTAAATTGTATAATTAAATTATATTTTTTTTTTTATTAGTTATCGTAATTGAAATATCGGTGGTGTGCAAAGTCTGTCGTTGCTTTCTGTTATGGCACTTATTGATATTAAATTATGATTGATGATTGACAATTGGTAATTAATAATTAAATTGAAAATTTTAAGACTTAGCCTTAACAGTATGCATAGACAAACTTTGCTGAGGCCAATTTGCGATGATGATTCGTATTTTTTATTACAGTCGCAGCCCCAGCCGCAGATTTCTATGAGTCCGTCGACTAAGCAGTACGATCCTTTGGAGGAACTGGACACCCTGGACCCGAGTGACCACGGAAAATCCACTGGTGACAATAAGAAGCAAGACAAGCAGGCGGAGAAAAAGAATGGGAATTCTGGAGGGTCCTGGTTCGGAGGACTCTTCAGTAAACTTACGCCTAAGCCCAAAAATCAGATGATTTTGCCGGATGATAACAATCCGACGGTAAGTTTTCGGCTTTGTAAGTTTTAGGATTAGTTATTTAAGATGGAAGTGATCTCAGGATGGATAGATTTTTTTTATGTTACTTAAGGCTCGGCGCGGGTACTTGTGGTAAAATATTATGATCAACTTCTTATGAATGACGATCACAGGCCAGTATATTAATTTAAAGTGTGAAATTATTTTAATACCCATTTTTTAAGTAACATAAAGACTAATAATAATTCATCAATAAATTTTTCTTTAATAAATTTTTTGTTCGAAAATTAAATAAAAATTTTTTAAAGAATTGAAATAATGTAACTAACATTAATTTAATTTACTCTTGCTGTAGATTGTCTGGGACCCAGTTGCCAAAAAGTGGAGTAACAAAGACGAGAATGGAGACAGCGGCTCCTCGCGGTTGGCTCCACCGCCAAAAATGACAGAGATGAATTTATCTACGCCAGCTGTCGAACAAAGTCAAAAACCACCACCGATTCCTGAACAAACTATCTCTTCTCATCAAAGTCAGCGTAGCTTAGATAATTCGACCCCCAATTCATCGAAAATGATCACCGGAAGCAACAATATGTTCAAGTTACAAAAGTCTAGAAGCATGCGTGCTAATTATATTGATGTTATGAATCCTGGAGGAGTTAAGAGCAATGGACCGCCGTCCAATCTTCCGACACCTGTGAATTCACCTATGATGCCTATGGCTGCTTCGTCGCCTCAACTTTTTGTCCCCGCACCAGGTACTAATAGAAATGTTTAGTTTATGATGATAATGCTCTATATCTAGATACATAATTAAAAAATGACCTTGTATCTCGTGAACTATTGACATTTTTTAAGATATAAGCTCATCCTGATGTTATACTTATCAGACCTTTTATTTGAATACCCACATCAATTTTTCATATATTTTATATATTTATATATATATTATATATATATGTATATATGAAAAATATATCAAAAATGCATGTGGGTACTCAAATGAAAGCTCTTGATGAGTATAACACCGGGATGAGCTTATATCTTTAAAAATGTCAATAATTGAGAAATGACCTTGTATTTTGTGAAATATTGAAATTGTGGATGATATAAGCTCTTCCCGATGTTACACTCATCGAGACCTTTCATTTGAATACCCACATCAATTTTTCATATATTTATATATATTATATATATGTATATATGAAAAATATATGAAAATGCATGTGAGTACTCAAATTAAAGCTCTCGATGAGTGTAACATCGGGATGAGCTTATATCTTTAAAAATGTCAATAGTTAAAAAAGTACAGTACAATTTATAGTTCAAATAGTAACTGCAAGGTTACTAGTTATTAATAATTATATTTTTTTTCTTTTTTTAGTAAATGATCCAAATGCACCAGTAGATTTTTTAACGCCAGCCCCGGCCCCAATTCCTCAAAATGAATCAGCGAGCCAAGGTGTAAGTATTAAAAATTAACAGTAATATCATACATTACACAATACGAGAACAATTATAAATAATTCAAAAACATAACTTGCATAACACACACTCTAAAGTAGATTTCAAGCTCTGTACTCTGGCTGCAGTATGCTTTTAATTTTTAATTATTTTTTAGAGTATTGTTATGGATGTTGTGTGTGATTGATTTGTTTAATGTATGATATATACTTACTGTTAAATTTATATTTTATAATAGAATTATTCCTCAATCCTTTTATCGTTTATTACTAAATCTTAACTTACTGAATAATTTATTGTTCGCAAATTAGTTTTACCTTCAAGCCAGCTATTTTCGTTTATTTATTCATTTATTATCTCACGTAGAATTTATTCACACTCATTAAACGCCAGAGTTTGAATGATTTTAATTAATATTAAAAAATTAATTTTTACTTAATAAATTTATTTGTGTTTTCATTTGCAAGCAGTCGGGGAACCAGAATGACCTAGCCAAATAACAATTGTTATAAATAGTAAGATTTTTTACATAAATTATTGTGTATATTTAAATAATATTTTTTTTTTATTCATTATTATTTTATGCACAGTAACGCATTGTAGTATAGTGGCATTAGAATTTTTTTAGTTCGCTCTTGGCTCCTCAGTTTCCTTTCGCATGATCCTGTCTACAATCTATTGTGCTTCTAATCTTTTTAATTACTTACATAAAGCTTTTATAAAACACATTAAACTTGTAATTTTTTAAATAAACTTATTTATTAATTTTTATTTCTCGAAAATTATAAATTAGTTGTTAAAAAATTATAAGATTAAGAAACAAACGAAGCACAGTAATTATCTAACACAAGCTTAAGAACAAATGGTAAAATAGTCTTTGAGATGGCTTTATTATATTTTTGTATGGGATTTAGCTCTCTCGGTGGAGCTCGACTAGCTCATTATCTCGCGAGGTACAGAGCTACACAATGAGGGATCCGCGTCTTCAGCAACGGATCAAGGTAAAATTTTTTTTTTTTTCTAGATCTTCCAACTGTTTGAATCAACAAATAATCATCAACCCGTTCATCTTCCATTGGATTGTTTTTCATTTTATTTATTAATCTTTCTTCTTCTCTATTTCATCTACAATTAATTCAAAACTTGCTAAAAGCTTTTAATTTTCTGCTTCTTATTAATTTATGTCTTGTACTTCGATAAATTAATTAAATATTATGTTAGCTAAGACTTAAAAATTTTTAGAATATTTTTTTATTGAAAAAATTATTAAAAAAAAAATTGCATTTGTAAAAAACTTGAAAAACTGTAAGTGCAATTTTTTAAAAATATTTTTTTATTCTAATTTAATTATTGAAAATAAATTAAAAAATTAAAAACGTCGGCTAACATTAGTATTATTTAAATATTTATAATTATATTTTTTTACTAATCAATGAAGTTAATATTTAATATTTTACTTACAGGGACCAATGATGTACAATCCGGCAAACGTAACAGATAACTCGGCGATGAGTGTCCCGAAAAATAGATACCCAAGACGATAAAAAATAGGAGAATAAATAAAATTTTAATACAAGGTTTTTGTTAATGGTATATATTATATTATAATAGATAATTATTGAGTAGTTGAATTTAAATTACAATGGCAAAGAAGAGGAAGAAGAAATATGTTAGTGTCGTTGAATTTTTAAAAGTTATTTCTTCAATTGGTAATTGGAGTTTAATAAGCATACAAAAAATTATTGATATATTTATATAACTACAGAATATTTATAATTTTTTGTATCGCACATACAGTATAGATTTTTTTTTGTAACAACGCAAAGAATTTATATATTATCCAGTGTAATTGAGAGTTGATAAATAATTTAAAGTCTGATTTTATAATCTTGCGCAGAATCGTCATCGTGTTTGTTGTAGAAAATATTGATGTTTGTTAATTAATTATTCAAGTCTTTTTGAGCAACTCATTCTACTTAATAGTAGATTCATTTTATTGCATGTCATTGTCATCGAATTAATGTGCAACTAATTAAATTGTATGCATTTTTTGTTTGTTTATTTTTGGAAGATGCTCAATGTTTTTTCATTAAAAAAATATTGAAGTTTATACTTGAGTAAATTAAAATTTTTTTTTTCTTTATTAATTAAAATAAGTAATTAATTACATTCCATTACTTATTACGGATAGTTGATGTAAATATGGGATTGTTTATTTTTGTTTTGCATTTTAACGATTGACCTACTATTTGACAGTTAATTATGTGTATATAAATTTATTTGTGTTTAATTGTCTATTGCTACTATACTACATTATTATAATTACTTCATTTTTGTTTGAATTATTTCCTTAAAAAAAAAAAAAAACTTCAATGTTTATAAATGATCTGTCTCAATACAGTTAATATAACAATCACAGCAATAGTTTCATGGTTGTGCAATCAAACATTTTAATTATATTATTAAAAATTAATAAAGTGTAATTAAAATTTATGTTATATATTTCCGAAAAATAATTAATGTAATATAAATAATAAGCATATATAAATATATAAATAATTTCAATGTTCATTTAATGGGAATAAATATATATATATATATATATATACATACTATCTATTGTATATTATAATTGCGATTTATCTGTATAATTATTATAATAAAGTATAATTAAAAAGTTAAATTGAATTATTACTAAATCTTTAATTAAATAAAATTTATAAAGAAGTTAAAATTATGATATTAAAGTTAGCTATCACTTGAACATTTAATAAAAAAAAATAAAAAAATTTGTACTGAAAAATTATTTTTAAAAAATTGCACTTTTAATTTATTAAAATTTTTAAATGTCAATTTTTTTTTTTTATTAATTAGAAAATAATTGATCAATTTATTTATTTATAAAATATATTTTATTTAAATGCCTTCCATTTATCAACAGTTGATAAAATAATTCTTTTTTATAAAAAAATAAGGTTATATTTAAAAAAATAAAAAAAACACTGCTTGTTTGTAATTTTTTTACTTAATTTATCAGGACTTAATTAAATAATTTAAATAAAAATAAAAATAAAAAAAATGGAAAGAGGCGCTTTATTAGTACTAGAAGGCTGTGACCGTGTTGGAAAATCAACTCAAGTAAAGCGTCTCGTTAAAGTACTTAATGACAGTGGAATAAAAGCAGAAGCACGTGGTTTTCCCAGTAAGTTTTTTTTTTTATAATTAAAAGTATAAAAATAAACATCACTCTTACTTATTATTTTTATTATTTGCAGATCGCAAAACAACCATTGGAAAATTGATAGATGAATTTTTGACATCAAAAAAAGAGTTAGCACCTGAAGCAGTGCATTTGTTATTTTCAGCGAATAGATGGGAATGCAGCAATGATTTAATTAATACACTTAATTCTGGAGTAACGCTTGTCGTGGACAGGTATCGTTGATAGTTAATGATAAATCATCTGGATAAATAAATAAAAGCTATTTCAATGATTAATCTTTTAGATATGCAGCATCTGGAGCGGCTTACTCGGCGACATCAACCAACAAAGGTCTCTCCTGGTGCAAAGAACCAGATCGTGGTCTTCCAGCGCCGGATCTTGTAGCTCTTATCACCGCTGATGAGGAAACTATCATGTCTCGTGAAGGCTGGGCGAATGAACGGTTCGAGCGTCAGGAGTTTCAGCGAAAAGTCGCGGATAATTTTTTTAAACTCAAAGACGAAACCTGGAAAATTGTCTCAGGAAATCAAAGTATTGATGAAATTCACTCGGAATTGTTAAAAGAAGCTTTGAAAATTATTAATCAAGTTAAAAATAGTCCTATTAAACTTTTATATGAATTTTAATTATAAAAAATTAAACGTAATTTTTTTTTTTTTTAACAAAAAATACTGTTTATTCCATCAATTTTATGTTAATATTTGGATCTTAAAAATAAACAAAGTATTTTTTAAATCTATTGTTTAATTATTAAATAAATAATAAATGTAATTTTTAAATTTTTTGTCTACAAGATAGAGATTACATCAAAACTTTTAATTTTGTTTAATTAAGAAGAAGAAAACAGATTATTAAATAAAATGTTTCAATAATAATTATCAAAAACTTTTTTGAAATAATAAAATATAAATAAAAATAATTTTACTTTTTATTAAAAATAATCCTGTTAAATTTTTATATGAATCTTAATTATTAAAAATCAAACACGTAATTTTTTTTACAAAAAATACTGTTTATTCCATTAATTTTATGTTAATATTTGGATCTTAAAAATAAACAAAGTATTTTTTAAATCTATTGTTTAATTATTAAATAAATAATAAATGTACTCTTTAAATTTTTTTGTCTCTACAGACTAGAGAAGACATTGAAACTTATAATTTTGTTTAATTAAGAAAAAAACGTATTATTAAATAAAATTTTTCAATAATAATTATCAAAATCTTAAATTTTTTAAATAATAAAAAATAAATAAAAATAAACTACTTTTTAACCCCAAACTGACCTTGACTATCAGTCACCGTAAAGATAGATCTTTTCTCCACTTCAATATTATCTGTAGCATCAGTCGGTTCCATAGCACCGGTCTGAAGATTCACCGGGTAATCATACGAATCATAGCAATGGTTATGCCCAAACACCGGTTGGTGCTGATAGCAATCGGACCAATGAGCTTCATATTTAATTTTTTTCTCAGACGGTTCATTAATACAAGTGCAGTTTTCAGTAACTGTAGCAATAGCAGGATTATGAATACAATCTTCATTAGAACGAAGTCTCTTAGAGTTATCATTTCCATCACCAGCTCCGTCATTATCTCTGTCCATAAATATATCAACCCTCGGGCTCTTGATCACGATTGGCGTTAACTGATGAATCCTGCCATTAAAGTCTTCACCACCTGAATAGAGCCGCTGGAGCGCGTAAGACTCTTCAAGGCCCTGCTTGCTGGTGCTTGGCACCGGCGAGCTGGGATAAACCATTTGTCCAAATCTTTCTGAGTCATATCCATAGCGATCGTACTTTTGGTCCAGATTTGTGTACGAATTACTTTGATTGTACGGGTAAAAAAATTTATCTTGATAATTAGGACAAGAAGAATATGAATTCTTGTATTCATTGCATTCATTCGTAACATTTGTGGACCTTTTATCAACGTTAGCATTAAAATCATCAATAGGAAAATTCCTAGCAGTATTTTCCACGGAATTATCTCTGTGGACTTGATCAGAACCCGCTGATCTATCAGAAATTAAGTTTATTATCGGCTTATCGGAACCAACTGACTTCCAATCAGTAGATTGTTGAGTTTCTTCCGCGTAGTCATCTTCTTTAGCCATAGGTTGGATATTTTCCTGAATATCTTCAACTTTAACAGAAAAGCTGCTGCGGTTAGCATTAGAAAAATCCATCGGCTCGCAAGAATTTCCATCAACAGAATCATCACTAGGTCTTTTAAGACTCCCATCGCAATCTTGCGAGCTCATAGAGTCCTCAATAAAATTAGACTTATTTATTAGACTTCCATCTTGACTGAAAGACTTGCGAAGCTCGCTGTCGACATTAATCCTCTCTAATAATTCTCCGTTGTAAATACCGTCTCTTGCTTCGCTGAGACAGTCGTCAAAGGTGACAAACTTCTCGAAGCTCACGCCTATTTTTAAAGTGTGCCACTGTGGACACTGTATATTTAAATACCAATCATCATTGCGGAATTTAGTACGTTGGAAATTAACTACTATCAATTCTGCAGGGATTTTTTTCCAGGCTTCGACTAGGCAGTTGATAATTTCTTCAGGCTCCCAAAAATCCTTAGTAGGCTCTTGGCACAGCCCTTGGACGTAATTAGACCTGTAGTGCATTTTAATAAAATGACTAACGTCTCGTCTGAGAGGTCGAAGGTGGCTCGGAAATTTGATTGGTAAGTAAACGGGCTGAATGTGTGTCAACTGGGCGAAATTTACGGCATTGATGTGACTTCTGTTTAGTACCATAATTATTTTTCGGTTTAACTCGGCCATTTTGGTGTTCATTGCCATCAGCCAGCCTGCGAGTGTCCCGTTGTTTATGCGGCTGTAATTGTCGCATTGGTAAACGCAATCTTGACTCGGGGTTTCGATTTTGTAGCGGCCGGAAATTATTGGGGGCATTTTTTCAGTTCCCGAAGCATTTACGGCTAGTAAAATTGTTACTATGTTCATCGCGGGTGGCCGTACGGCTTTAGTGTTTAGATTTTCTTCGTCGAAGTCAACTGATGAACCTGTTTCATTCATATCGCGGGTTGAATGATTCTGATACTGGTCGCTGGGCTTGAAATCTGTGTACATAACAAGCTCGTCTAGGAAAAATTGATCCTCATACTGATAATTAGAAAGATAAGGGCGCATTATTTCTATCCATTCAATAAAGTTGTCAAACTCTGGACCGCAACACTCAGTTAGTGATGGGGAAAATTTGTAGCGCTTCAAAAATTGGGTTAACCAAGATCCCCCGCATTTGTATCCTGCGTAAGTAATTTTATTATTATTATTATTATTATTGAATAATAATATTAATTAAAATAACACTGAAGTTAGCAGACATCTAAAAATTTTTTATTTTTTTTTTTTTATTAATTAAATTACAACTAAAAAGATACAAGCTTTTTTACATGTGACAATTTTTTTTTTTTTAATGTTCAATTGAAATTTTTCCAATAAAAATTATGAAATGTCAGCTAACTTTATTTTCATTAATTAAAATTAAAATTATTAACAAACCTTCAACATTATAATACTCGACAAATTCAAGTGCTGTTTTTTTTAACATCTCTCTGGTTAGAGATTTATTTGTCGCATGTCTTATACAAAGCCACTGGAGAAGTGATTCCTTCATTGTCTGGGCTGCTTTACTTTTTGACATTAATCTTGACATGGTGATTATTATTTTATTTTTAATTGTGCGCGGTAATGGTAGTAATAATAATGACAGTTATTATTATTACTGAAATTATTAACCGAAACTAAACATGAGACAGTTGAATAATATAACTCGACGGCGGCTAGATGTGATAAACAGTGAAGTTGTCGTTTGTCGTTGCTCGCTCGGTTTTTGTGCGGGTTAAAAAAAAAGAAAGAGAACAAAGAACAAAGAAACCGCGGATTATGTTAGTTACCAGCTGAGTCGTTACGTTAAGGATTGTTAAGATTGGACCACCACCATGGTAAAGAAAATTAAAAATAATTTACAAAAGTATTCCAGTTGTAAAAAAAAAAAATTAGAATGAAAATTAAAGTAGGTAGCAGATACTTAATAATTTTTTTAAGAAATAAATTGGTGCAAAAAAAATTGACATGTGGAAATTTATTAAAAAAATTAAAAATACAGCTTTTTAAAAAAATAATTTTTTAGAACAAATTTGTTTGTTAAATAAAATTAAAAAATGGTGAAGTGACTGCTAACTTTAATATCATACTTTAATTTCACAAAATTAGAACCAGTTTTTCAAACCAGAATTTTTTATGAAACTGAAATTATTAGCAGACATCTGTTATTTTTATAGACACTTTTACAACAAATACATACTTTTTTTTTTTTTTTATAATAATTTATTTGTTAAAAAAAATCCTAAAAATCATAAGTTATTGTCAGCTAACTTCAGCATTGTCGTTTTTTTATATATTTAAAATTTTAAAAAGAAAGGTCAAAAAAAAAAAACACTGTTTGAAAAACTGACCTTTATTGAAGCAATTTTATAGAATATTTTTTTTAGCAATTAATAATTTTTAACAAATAAAAGGCTGAAAATAAATATAAATATAAGTTTTAAGAGACTAATGAAATAATTATAGAAATTTAAATGTACTCTCACACAGTAGGAATGAAACTATGAATCCGATGGAACTTCTCTCAATTGTCAATTTACTAGTGGAACGTGATAAAAGTTTATTTGTTGTCAGCCAGTAAGTTACAGTGACTATTCAGTCAACCGACGTCCCCAAAGGTCATTACTCTAGGTATATATCCAGCTTATACATTTAGAGGTCAAAAGAGAGAAAGGTACATGTAAAAAATCACCTAAACTTAATAGCTCCAGAACTGGCAACTCCGCAGGCTATCAAAATCTCACCTAAAGCTGTTTATCCGGTGCTCGAAAAAAGGATACAAAAAATTATCAGGCTCATATTATATAATGCTTTTTACCGAAGAAAAAAATTTATGGAAAAATGGTATAAATTTTATATCTGGAATAGGAAAAATTGTTGGTGAGAAATGGGGGCCAACAGAGACAAAATACTCCGTCGAGTAGTGTATATTTTTCAGTTTTATTTTCTTATTTATTATTTTGTATTTTTCTTAAACTTGTGACCGCATAAATGTTTCACCACTTGCAATACAAGTCCCACGACGAGGATTAATGAGCTAGAAAACTGGTGCACATCAGTACCTACTATGTGTACTGTCTTCCTTGCTCGGAACCACATATAAACCAATTTTCTATGGAGAATAATTTATCGCCAAAGTAACTGCCTATTTGAATAAATAAATATTTAAAGTTTCACCGATTTTTAAATTACCTCGAGTGTTTTATTATCAAGGATAAAGACAAGCTTAAATTATTTTATGCCTGAGCAAGTTACTGCTGCAAAAGTCTACTGATTTTTCCCTTTTCTAGAGAAAAAAATGGTTCAGTCGATAGAAACAAATTACTTGCTCATACTTTGTACTTTTAAATCTCTCTCAATAATTAAATGTCATCGCCAGTTCATTTAATACGACAAATTAACATTCAATTCATCTCTGATAATTGTATATAATAAAATTCTCAATATGATGATTATCTTATTATGTAATATTAAGATTGAACAAAACAAAGAAGTTGTCATACAATTATGCAATAATTTCAACTATTGCTTAATTTTCATTGTAGTTTTACTAATTATTTAAATTAATATTTAATAAATTATTGCTTAGAAAATTAAAATTAAAATTTTTTTTCAGTATACAAACTATTGTTTAATTTTAATTGTAATTTTACTAATTATTTAAATTAATATTTAATAAATTATTGCTCAGAAAATTAAAATTAAACATTTTTTCAGTATAAAACTGGAATAATTTTTCAAAACTTTTTTTTCAAAGTTAAATTTTCTACCAACTGCTCTAATTGCCAATTGGTTGAAATTTTTTTTTGCAAAATAACTTAAACATAAACTAAAATACCTTTTGGTAACATATTTTTCCAGCAAAAGTTCGAAGCGCAATAAAAATCTCATTTTTCGCTTGCATACTTCTGCAATTGCATATACAGCGTATCAGTTGTCATTCGCGTTCCATTCGTTTAAATAGAAAAACGTAGCTTAAAAGTTTCGGTTGAAACATTTTTTCGATTAAAAATTAGATTACCTTTTTCAAATAAACTAAAGTTATGTTTTCATAAACTCCAACAGCCATATGACTTTTAAAGGGAAAAAAAGTTTATTATCAAAAATGGTTTAAATAATTTATTTATAAGCGAGGGAATATTTGTTCATTTCTGAAGATGTTGAAGGAGCAACTATTTTTTTTACATTCTTATTCTTCCCTAGTACATAAGTATAGGCCAAAATGGAAAGAGCAAAGTGCCAGGATAAAGGACATTTGCATGCATTAAATTTCCCAACATAGACTCAATATATATTCTCATCTACATTTTCAAAAGATTGAATAACTTTTTTACGTATTTTTTAAATAAAATTCAAACTTCATCAGTGGTACATAACATATTAATTAATATTTATTATGTTATAAATTTAAAAATCATGTATATTTACATTTTAATAATATCCGGAGTTTTTAATTACAACGAATTTATTTTACCCTAGGGTAAAGCTTTGATAATATATATTTACCGTTCATATTTAACTATTTGCATAAAATAAATTATCAATATATTAAAACAAAATTAAAGTATCTCGAAGTAAATAGAGCTGAACAAACAAAAAGTCCAATTTATTTATAATTAATAATTAATAAATAACCAAGAGGCAAAATATGAAACCAACGAGCGTTGTTAATTTTATTATTTTTATTGATCTAGCTTTTCAATAACAGTTTATTCATATATATCATACTTTATTTCATTTATTCATTATTTATACTTCTTTAATTATACTAATTTATTATGAAAATTAAGTTAGCCGACGTTTTTAATTTTTTGATTTTTTTTTAATAATTAAATTAGAACAAAAAAATATTTTTAAAAAATTGCAGATATAGTTTTTCAAGTTTTTTACATGTGAAATTTTTTTTTTTCAATTGTTTAATTGAAATTTTTTCAATAAAAAATTTCTAAAAGTTTTGAAATGTCAGTTAACTTCATTTTCAAAATTACTAAAGTTAGCCGACGTTTAAAATTTTTTTTTTAATAATTAAATTAGAACAAAAAAATGTTTTTAAAAAATTTCACGTGTAGTTTTTTAAATTTTTTACAAATGAATTTTTTTTTGTAATTATTTTTTCAATAAAAAAAAATTCTAAAAATTTTTGAATATCGGCTAACTTAATTTTCATATTTATTTCTTATTAAATTTAACTTTTAGAGTATTCACATACCATCGGAATTATAGTTGAAAGGGCCGTGTCGATGGATTTTCTCAGTTTACTTTTTCCATTCACGTGTCAACTATTATCACAGTCTACTCTTGTTTAATAATTCATCAGCTTGCGACGTAGAGTAATATTTAGTAGCAAGTGCAACCGCGAACGACACGCAAACCTTTGTGTGCTTTACTTGCAATTCTCTTTTATCTCATCAGAAGACACCCACATGTTGTTCTAAAAAATATAACTAAGAGAATGAAAGCTTGAAGAAATGAAGGTAAATAAAAGTCAGTTAATGAAAGAAGAAAAAATAAAAATAAACAAATACCAGAAGCCATTTTGTCGCTGTTACGCTTTCTTTGGTAAGTAATTTTTATTGTAAATAAAATTGAATTTTAAAATTCAATACTGCGTATGTGGAGCTTTTATAAAAGTTGTAAAGTTAATATTGTTAGTAAAAATATCATTTTTTTCTTGTTTACTTTTTTAGTGATCCTGGGATATTATTAGAAATTTTATAGCTTCTCAATCTTTTGAGGGGATATTTATGGTCACAAGCATAAAAGAAAATCTATATTCGATTGAATCTCTGGTTCTTATTAAATATGATGCCGTTTATTCAATGGCAGATTCTTTTGTATGTACTATCTTGCTTATTTTCTTATTATCATTATTATTATTAGTTTTTTTTTATCAATAAATTTTTGTTTTAGCTTCTTCGATTAGATCTTTAAGAGCGAATTTTATTTGAGAAAAAGAAAACCTCATTAGCTTTTTAATTTTATCTTCAGTTCATAAAATATCAATTTAGCGATTGATTATTCATTATATTTTCATTAAATTATTACTTATTTATAATCTCAAATATAGAGTAAGAAAATAGTTTTCATATTTTAAACATAAATAATTTCTTTTTTCATAGTTGGAAATTTTTGAAGGAGTTTTAATCAGTACGAGTTACATTATGGTAAAATTAATTAAATTTTTGATTTACTATATCAAAGTATAAAATAAAGTATCAGTAATATTGCATTACTATTATTATTATTATTATTATTATTGTGAATAATTAATTCGTTTTACTGAATGGTATCATCATCTATAATTTAGATGAATAAGTAATCCAATAATTGCATGCACTTGACAAAGTATAACATCATAATTTGCGATTACACTTGAACTACTTGTCGTAATCACCTTTATTTGTTTGCTTACAGTATATTTATCTAGTGTTTTTTTTCCTCTCCAATCAATATCAAGCATCAGCGAAGTGCTTTAATAACTAACGACTTTACAGGAATCCATTTCTTCGCTCTTTTTTGTCTATAGGCAAAATTTAATTAATTCAAGTGCATACATAACGTAATAATAAACTTGTTTGCTCACTTTTTAGATATCTGAACCAGATTATACTATATTTCTGTGCAGCAGAATGCTTACGATCCGCAAATAAATTATTGATCAAATAATATGGCTATCGCTCACAAAATCAAACACGGGAACAGAATGTTGAGTCAAGTTCACAGGTAAAAAACAGTTATACATATGAAAATTAAGTTAGCTGACATCTAAAAATTTTTAGAATTTTTTTTTATTGAAAAAATGATTACAAAATAATAAAAAAAATTTATTTGTAAAAAATTTGATAAACTAAGTGCAATTTTTAAAAAATGTTTTTTAGTTCTAATTTGATAATAAAAAAAAAATCAAAAAATTAAAAACGCCGGGTAACTTTAGAGTTATGTTATATATTTACTTATCATTTATACATTTATAAATTCGTTGATTGCAGACAAACAGAACGACCATTAACGCAGCGCATATTGTCCCATATACGTCGTGCAAAAGAAAACGAATATCGTGGTTCAAATTCGCCTCTCTACAAGTCAATATGTCCATTAATTTACGCGATTCGCGTGTTTGGATTAGCGCCTTATGAATTTGAGGACAATAAACTCGTCCCATCAAATTCTTACTTGAGTTTTACATTTTTTTGGTTCTGTGTCTACACCTACGTAATTTGGCGTTACCTAGTAGGCGTTTTGGATCCCAGCACTGATATGAAGACAACTCTTTATCATACGGAATTCGCTAAAGTATGAAATAAAAGTATGATATTAAAGTTAGCCGACATTAAACAATTTTTGATTTTTTTTATTCATTAAATTAAGACTAAAATAATATTTTTAAAAAATTGCAAGTGTAATTTTTCAAACTTTCTGTATGTGAAATTTATTCTTTTAATTTTTTTAAAAATAATTTTCCAATAAAACAAATTATAAAAATTTTTAAGATGTCGGATAATTTAATTTTTATAATAAAAGTTAGCCGACATCTAAAAATTTTTAAAATTTTTTTTTATCGAAAAAATTATTATAAGAAAATAAAAAAAAAAATTTCACTTGTAAAAAACTTGAAAAACTGAAAGTGCAATTGTTAAAAAATATTTTTTTGTTCTTATTTAATTATTGAAGAAAAATCAAAAAATTAAAAACATCGGCTAATTTTAGTATTATATAAAAGTAACTTAGTATAGTTAATAATTCAAGTTATTTTTTACTAATACAACTTATTTTTTCTTTATTTTTAGACTACGGGCAATTACTTCGTAGTAATAACTGACTTTATAATCTGCATAAGTACACGAAAAGAAATAAGTTGGATTTGGAATAAAATCGAAGACTTCGACCAAGCAATGCGAGATCTAGGATACGCGAGAAAGGAAAAAGAAACTCGTGTAGTGGTTTGGTTTATAATCGGATTCAACATCGTAATTTGGGGAATAATAAACAATCTAGGAATGGCTGCATTTCACGAGACTTTTTTACATAACGTGTCATATTTAACAGTGTACGTTGGAGCTGCTGTTACAGTCACTAAATTTTCGGGACTTGTATTGATACTGGGCCAGCGATTCAAACAGTTGAATGAAATCGCTAAGAGTCATGTTTCCAAATCGCGATGGATACACGTTGATCCCATAATCGATGACGAACTCGTGGATTGTCTTCACAGCGAGCTTACTGCTGTTGGAATAAAGCTCAACAACGTCTACAGATGGTCGTTGATACTTTGGTTGGGGAATTTGAGCTTTCACAGTGTTTCTTCTTCTTATTTCGTTTTTGATTGGGTCATGGATGGGAAATTTCATATAGATTTTATTAATTGTCTTCTTGGTTGGTTCGTAGCTGTGTTTTCTCAACTTTTTTTACTAAATTACTCTTGCCACTACGCGTCTAGCGAGGTAAGTAATTTATCTTTCATCTAAAAAAAAAAAAAAAAAAAAAAAAATAATAATAATTTCCGAGTGTTTTAAAAATTGAGCATCACTAAAATTTTTACCGCTTAAATTACTCCGTGATAAAAAATTGAGTTATAAAATTATCCTCATTTTTGCAGTACTTTTTTCCCAATGTCAGGAGCTTTAAAATTTTTTTTCTTCCGTTATTTTATTTTATTCCGTCTTTAAACGATAAACTTGAATTTTCTCATCATCAAGGGTCGAAGTAAAAGATAAATAAAAAGTAATCGGCTTTGATTGCTGTCCTTGCTTAGTCTCCCGCATAATGGACCCGTAACTTAGTACATATATATTTTATATAAATGTTAAAATATAAAAAGTTTATGTAATTATTGATATAAAGGGAAGAAAAGAAAATTGATAATAGTAAAAGTTTTTTAAGTAATTAATAACAATGAATATAAATATAAAAATTTCAAATAGTTTTATGACATTAAAGTTAGCAGTCACTTGATAATTTTTTAATTTTATTTTACAAATAAATCTTTACTTAAAAACTATTTTTAAAAAATTGCATTTATAATTTTTTAAAATTTCTACATGTCAATTTTTTTTTCTCATTTATTTTTGCTATAATTTATTTGTTAAAAAAATTCTAAAAATTAATAAATATTTAAAAAAATTTTAATAATTAATAAATACTGAAATAAAAAAAAAAATTAATAATTATTTAAAGTTTTATAAATTTACATAGCTTAATTTTTTGTCAAATAAAATTAGTAAAATTTTTTTATCTCTTGGAGATGTTACAAAATTAACTTTATTTTTTTTTTTTTTTTTTAATAAAATAGAAAATATACCAATCTATTAAAAAAAATGAAAATTTACTGCCAGGAAAATTTTATTATTTGCTTAAACTTTTATTACTTCCCCAGCAAATGGTATGCTGATTAATCTGGCTCAGGATTGTTCTCAGCGGGATATTTAACTATGCAATTTTCTTACCCAGGCAAACTGCATGAGCTACATAATGCTAGGATGGAAACGTTGGCTCTACACCCACGATAGCAAGATGGTAAGCATCGATGGTATCTTATAAATACATAACTTATACTTATTTTAATTAAATTGAATTAAAAAAAAATTTTTATCTGCATTTTTTCAAAGTGTTATGTGATATAATTTATAAGAGTTATATTTAATTTAATAATTCTCTATTTTCTGGGTAAATTGCACACATAGGAAGTGGAAACTTCTCTTCATCTGGTGAATCGTCAACTACATTTCTCTGCAGATGGATTCTTTTATGTTAATCTACCTCTGTTTCATTCGGTAAGTTATTTCGCTGTAATTCAAAACAGTATAATTAAATTTTGAAATTTTAATACGCTTAAAATAAATTAGTATCGCTGGGAATGTTGAATATTAAATTATCTGCGATGCACAGCTTTTTATAAACCGAATTGTAATGCAATAAAAAAGCATGTTTTGTAGGAAAATAATTGGTAGATTCACTGAAATTTTCTTTGGGCTTTGTTTGTATTCGAATCACGGCACGCGGATTAAAGTACTTGGGAGTCGAGAAGAGTTTTCTCGGGGAAAATAAAAGTAAATAAACACGATCTGTTAGTTAAATACTTGGTATTAAGTTAAGAAACAAAAAATAACTTCATTTTTTTTATAATTATTATTAATAATGTATTCTAATTTTGCAGATAACGGCTGTGTTAGCGACCTACTTATTTATTCTTCTTCAATTTGATTAAGCAAATAATAAAGAAGCGAGTTTTTTTAAAACAAGGAAAAAATAGTTGATGTTATGAAGACAATTTTTTTTCTTCTTCTTAAATGATGATAATAACATTTTTGCCATGCAATAGAGAATTATTAGAGCAAAAAGACAGTAGGGTAAAATGAGAAAGAATATTTCTTGTCGTTTCTGTTGAAAATAAAAATTCTTGAGGGTTTATTTTAAAAAAAGTTAATTTTTCATTTTATCTCATTTTTCCCCCATGGCCTTTTTGCTCATAGTTTGACTAATTAACACGAAGGAGGCACGCTTAGTATAAAATTATATTTTTGTAAAAAGTTCTATTTAATTTTCATTAGCTTATTATTAATAACTTAATAAAGTAGTACTAAATTTTTTTCATATTTACAACTTAATTTTTATTAAGAACAAAAATTAAATGTGTAACTTAAAAAAATTCAGTATCGTAGTTTTTTATATGTTTAAAAAAGAAAAGCCAAAAAAAAAATTAGTTTTTATTAAAAAAAAATTAAAGAAATTTTTTAGAATATTTTTTCAATAATTAGATTAGTAGTTAAAAAAAATGACACTAAATTTAACAGACATCTATCAATTTTTAAAAATTTTATAACTATTAAATCGTAATGAAAAAAATTTAGCAAAAAAACTCTTAAAAAAATTAACAAGTGCACATGTTGGTTGAATTCAGTTTAATTATACCTAAAGTCTGTTAAAACGTTTGAAGTTTTTTTTTTCTTCATTAATTAATTTAAAACTAAAAAACAATTTTTTTTTTAATTGCCCTCATAGTTTTTTTAATTTTCTCCGTATCAAATTATAAAACTTTATTACACTCTAATTATAAAATTATATTTTTATAAAAAGTTTTATTTAATTTTCACTAATTTATTATTTTTCTTCTCTTAAATTTTGTAAATTTTTTTGATATTTAAAACTTAATTTTTGTTTGGAACAAAAATTAATTGTAACTTAAAAAAACTCTTATTTGTAATTAAAAAAATTTTCTAAGAAGAAAAATAAATAACAAGTTGGTCTGGAGGAAAAAAAAAAAAAATTCCAGATGTAAATCGAGATTGGATATTTTTCTGAACATAAATATATCCAAAAGCACGAAGCATAAAATAAGGGTGTAAAAGCTTTTATACATATAATAAGAGGTCTGTCACGACAATCGTGAGAACTGGCACCTGTAGAGCCGAGAGATGAGATGCTTGTTTTCAGTTATCTGAAAAATAAAATAAGGAATGAAAAGGGTATAAAAGTGTATACGGTTAAAGGTGAAAGTAGCAGGGCAGCATGATCGAGCAATGGTGCGTCTATTTTCCACGCCATCACCCTGGAAAATTGTCTTTTTTCTCTATATCGCCTTTATGTATTAAAACATACCTCGTATATTTACTATCGAGGCTAATACGTGACTCTGAACTGCATACAAATCAACAGAATACTTTGTTTCTTATGTGTCGTGAATTCGCAACATATTTTTTTTCTCCTATTTGAATTTATCTGTAAAAAGAAAATAAAAACTAAAGGTATGTTATTTTATTTAACGACTCTCCTATAAATCAATAATCGAGTTGGCTAAATTTTATTTTTATTTTTCAGAAGAAACAACTAGAACGAATTGGAAGTTAATAAAAGAGTAATAAGTTGAATAGCACTAACGATACGCTTTAATGATAGGTCTAACCACTACACTAGGTTTTATTTAATTAATTGACACTTCTACATCGATGTGATTAGTCTTTATGGGTTTTTCCCAAAGCCCGCTCATTATTTCTTCTTGAAACTTTCTTAAATCATCAAAATTTATTTTATTTGTCTCTACTTTGCCCTTTTTTATCGCGATCTCTGTAAAAAAATTCACCCTCTACTTTTTTTGTTATTAAAATAATCTATTAATTGAATTTATACAGTCTAATCTATATTATTCATTATCTATATTATCTTTATTATGATAAGTATTTAGGCTATATCCAAAAATTCTCTATCTTTAGATACATAATTAAAAAATGACCTTGCATCTAGTGAAATATTGAAATTTTTAAAGATATAAGTAGGGGTGTGCGAATATCGTTCGAATCGAATCGAATCGAATATTGATATTCGATTCGAAATTCGAACCGAATAATTCGAAACTTTTTGAATTGTTCGTCGAATTTCGAATAATTTGAAAATTCAAATTATTCGATTCGAATTTTGAATCAAATATTAATATTCGATTCGAAACGAATAATTCGTAAGTTCAAATTATTCGCACACCCCTAGATATAAGCTCATCCTGATGTTACAATAATCGAGACCTTTCATTTGAGTACCCACATCAATTTTTCATATATTTTATATATTTATATGTCGGAAAAGCATTATTAGGGGCGTTAGTACAGTCCATTGGATTCGTTTATTCAATTATTTATTAATTTAGAATAATTAAACTATAACACTGATCTAAATTTTGAAATATAATGTACGCTAACTTGTATAAACAATACTACGATTAATTATCCAAATATAATTAATATACAAGGTAAAAGCGCTGAGGAATAAGACCGAGAACGAATATCCGGGGTCAGCAGGATGTATGCGATCTTTACTTGATCAATGCTCAACGAAAACTACCCCTCAAAGTATCCTAAGTACTTCTTCACTTAAATATTTCGACAGCCCTCATTGTCTGTCGATATCTTTAACTGTATACTTTTTACTTCTATCCTGTGACCTCGGCTACGTTTGGTGACCATTGTCACTCCGGACTCAAGCCCATCGCCATAACCATAAAAATTATAATCGGCTTAAGTTATAAATAATTATTAAATATTCTATGCTTTACAATTTTGCTTAAAACTAACAGACAAACTAAAATATTGGGAATTTCCTATCTCTGGGAAAACCCAGCTCGATATTATCTTCGACATATATATATATATATTATATATATGAAAAATATATCAAAAATGCATGTGGGTACTCAAATGAAAGCTCTTGATGAGTGTAACATCAGGATGAGCTTATATCTTATAAAACGTCAATATTTAAGAAATTACAGTGCAATTTAACAAAATTCATTATTTAATAAAGCAAAATTTTAATTTTTTATTATTCACACGACAGTCACATAGGTTGCTAATTTTATTTAATTAAATTCTGTGATATACGATGCGGTAATAAGCAATTTTATTCCTGATATATTAATGTATAGAAGCATGTATGTAAAGATATGAAATATCTAAGCCGCTAGATATTAAATCATGATACATATGCTCTTAATATTTGCGACAAAGTAAACATAAATTATAGAGTTGTAAAAAATTACCGAAGGGGTGAAAATTGGAGCTTAAATTTATAAGTAAAAAAAACAAAAATCAAGTATTAAAATTCATTTAGATTTTTTATTTCAACATTCTTTTAAATTACAAAAAAAATTATTTCTCTGAAATAATTTAACGAAAATAATTTTTTTTTTATCACCTGTTTCTTAAATAAAAAATCTTAAATTACTTACAATGATTAATACTTTTTGCTAATAATTAAGGCACAAGTTTACCGGTCTAAAATAGTTCAAGATCTCATTTAAATATTTAAACATTCAAAAATACAACAGACTTGAAATTATTCATTTATATTTACACTAAAGAATAATTTAATCTCAAAAGAAACTTCTATCATTTTATTGATAGCTCAGAGAAGATTATTCTTCATACCAAAAACTTGTTCCTTAATTTCTAAACAGTCGATCAGATATATATATATAAATTTTCTAAACATAATTCAATTTTAATACAATCACAAAAATACTGTTTAATTAATACTCAAATTAATAATTGCCTCTTAAGAGTGCCTATCATCTTATTGATAGCTCCAAGAGTAAACTTCGACTGCTTAAAATACTTTTATCCTCTAAAATAAATTAAAAGATAAAAATAAATAAATATATTACAAAGCTTGATATAAATCTAAAAAAAATCCTTAATTAAAATAAAAAAAAAAAAAATTATCCTATCGACTAATTTTAAGACTATTAACCAAATAAGGCGCGCGGAGTTGATTCGTTTCGTCTAGTGCCATCGACGTGAGAATCTGTTGACTCGATAAAACTTTAGGTCTCAAATCAATACTCGGTTCTTCAATTTGTTGCACAAAATAGTTATCAGTCGCTGTGATTGAACTTGAATCAAAGCTCTCGGTGCGTCTCTTTACAGACAAAGCTTCTTCGTAAATACTGGACTTGGGTCTTCCTGGCCCGTTAGACCTTGGAACGTCATAGATCATATCATCATAACCACAATCAGGCATCGTATATCGGTGAGTCTCACTCAGCATAACAGAGAAAAGTTGTGGCTCGGATTGAGACCAATCATTCTTTAGATTGTAGGTAGAGTTGCTGTTGTTGCTGGACGGAAACTCCCAGATTGGCGATGGAAGTTCTGGGGGAGAGATAGCTTCGTCAAATGATTTATAAGAATCGTCCAGGTCCTGTTCTACCAGGCTGTTGCGTGAAGACTTTGACTTTAGAGAGCTTGACGATGATTTTAAATACTTTGAAGAGGTGAGTGGAATTTTGAAAGTATTGGAAAAAATCGAGCTGTTAATTAAGTCCTTTGATTTTTTGGAGACTTTTGGTGGGTTTGATGTGCCAGATCTCATGCTGTTTTCCTTCAATTTTCTCTTGATGTCTGTGAAAATATTCTTGGACCGGGCTGGGTACAATGGACCCAGTGATACTCTAACGTCACCTCTACCTAGTTCTTCAAATACTATTTGGTTTTTATTAATCAATTTATCATCCGCAATCATGTTATTGTTATTGTTATTTTTCTCTGAAGGAAGCCCGAGCCAATTCTGGATATGATTTTCCGAGGGTTGATGGAAGCTCGATAAATTTGAGTGTTGCTTTGGAGCTTTAGTCGAGCCTTGAGAAGAAAGTGAAGAAGAAGATGATGATGATTTTTCAACGTATCCCGAGTCCCGTTGTGGTGATTTAGTCTCGGTGTTGCTCTTGTTCAGGTTGCAGAAAAATTTGCTTCCCTTCATTGGATTCTTCTTTCCAGTCAACAATGTAAGAAGCTTCTTGAATGAATTCTTACGCGGTAGCTTCTGATTTGTTACTGGGATCCACTCTATCTCAGTGTCGTCGTCAAATTCAATTGGAGTTTTTAATTTAGCGGCAACTATTTTCGGAGCGCTGGGCATTTGGAATGAATCTGATCTTGCTGGAGGCTCTGAGGCTCTTTTTCTTCGCAGAACTACTTCGGTGTCCATGTAAATTGGTATGCTGTCCTGAACTTGGATTTTATATTGAGGTTGAGGTTGAGGTTGAGGTTGAGGTTCAGGATCTGGATCAGGGTCAGGCTCGAATTGAGGCTGTACTTCGGTTTCTACTTCCATGTCGAGATTGTCATTGTCGTCGAGAATAAAAGTATCGTTCAGACAGCGGTTTATTGGCTTCTGCTGGTGGTTGTTGATGGAAGAAATTGTTTTTTCACCACTTTTTCTGGAGGTAAATATTTCGTTGAACGATTTTTGAGTTGAAGAGTTCTTTGAATCCTTGGAACTGTTATGGCGGCTTTTGAATTCAGGAAAACTCTGAAAAATTAAAGAAATTGATTTAGATATAATTGGTTATTTAATTAGAAAAATTAAAAATAAAAATTATCATGTTTTTATGGTTATTGAAGTTTAGAAAAAAATTAATTCAAAAATGAAGCTTAAGTGATTTTTACATAATATTAAAGTTAATTTTTTGACATTTTTTTAATATTAACTAAAAAATATTTTTTTAAAATTGCACTTGCATATTTTGTAATAAGTTTGTCAATAAAAAAAATTCTAAAAATTTTTAAATTTCGGCTAAGTTAATTTTCATGACTTTTAAATGAAACTTACAAAATTTTTCATAAATTATATATATATAAATTTTGAATTATCTATTGGCAAAATCAAAAAGTTGTAGAATAAATGTTTTTTGGCATTTTGTAACATTCAATGGCTACTTAAAAAAAAAAAAACTCTCTTAAAAGTTTAAATATTTTTTTTTTTTTCAAGTTAACTTTTGAAAGTAAATAATAAAAATTATTTAAAACAAATAAAGAAAAGTTATAAGATATATTGAAATAAAAACGGACTATAAAAATCTTCCGTTTTAATAATTTTGAAAATTTTTATTAAATAAATAAAAATAAAACAAAACAGTAATTTTGATCAATAATAATTTTCAAAAACAGTCTAATAAAATTTTTGATATTTATGAAATTAAATTATTAAAATAAAGTAATTGCTGTTTACTATTTTGAGTTTCATAACAACATAAAGAAAAAGTTTCAAAATAAAAATGATTATGCGATAAAAGAAAAAACGTACCTTAGATGTTTGTGTAGAATACTTTTGCTCTAATGCAGCAACCATTTTCTTGACAAATTTTCCAGCCCCAACAGGTGAGACATTATCCTTCTTCCGAGGAGACGAATAACCCATTTCAAAATCTTGGATTATTTTATCCAAGTCTTGAATGGAGCTTACTGGAGTAATTAGCGTATTAACTTGAGGTTCATGCTGTGCAGGTGAATCAACAGGTATTTTTGGACTACTTTTACATTGAAGAGGGTATTGATGAGCGTACTCGCAACCTGTAGTTGCTGGTGGCGCGGGATTTGGCCACTGGTAAAGATTCTGGTGAGCGCTCCAATAACTCGAAGTCATTCCAGGACTTTGAGTACCTGCATACTGGTGATCGTAAGAAGAGTGCAAAGTGTTTTGATAATTTAGATTTGGTGACGATCTCAGAGCACTTTGCTGTTGAAGACACGGTAAATTATGCTCGTAGGCTGGACTTGGCGATTGGACCATAGAATTTTGGTACTGATCCCAGCATAATCCGTAATGCTGATAATTGGAATTCAATGACGCTAAGGTATTATATTCTCCGGCATAATAACCTGCACTTGACGGAGACATTTTAATTTTTTGGGCCTGATTATACTGTCCCGCATGATAACCTGGGCTCGATGGCATCACTGGCGTGTTTTGACGCTGCAGGCACTGAGAGTGACAGTAACTCATACTTGGCGACGCTACTGGCGAGTATTGGAGCTGAGTCTGACATTTTGGCGACTGCCAACATGCTGGGCTTGGAGGCGGTGTTGCAGGTAATGGCGGCGTTAAGTATAATGTTCTTATCCACTCTGCTCGTGGTTTTGTTGGGGTAAAATATTTTGACTCATCGTATGGCATCTGATGAAAGAGAAAATTTATAATTAAATAATGAAAATTAGTTTTGGAGATTTAATTTTAAGAATTAATTTTTAATAATTAATTAATTAATATAACACTAAAGTTAGCCGACATCTGCAAATTTTCAGAATTTTTTCTTATTAAAAAAATTATTACAAAAAAATATTTTTAAAAAATTTCACTCAAAGTTTTTCAAATTTTTTACAAAATTTTTTTGTAATAATTTTTTCAATAAGAAAAATTTCTAAAAATTTTTAGATGTCGGCTAACTTGATTTTCATTAATTAATTTATAATTAATAATTTTAAGAACTTTGGTGATTAATTATTGCAAAAAAATTGACTTGTAAAAATCTATGACACTGAAATTAGCAAATACTTAAAAATTTTTTATTTTTCTTTAAAAATACACTAGGTCTATAAAATTATTTTTAAAAAATTGCATTTATAATTTTTTAGAGCTTCTAAAGATGGAATTTTTTAAATAAATTTTTCTTGTTATAATTTATTTGTTAGAAAATTTTTTAAATTATCATTATAATTTATGAAGTTTAATCAATTATTAAATATTGAAAAAATTGAATGGATAATTTCATATAAATTGAGCCTTTCAATTAATAGTTTTACATAAGAAGATTTAAATAAATAATTAAAATAAGACATTGAAAATTATTAATAGAAAAATTTGTAAAGAAACTGAAATTGATAGACGATAATTTATTTAATTTTTTTATGTCAGGCCCAAAAAATTATTTTTATACTCCGATAAATAATTTGATCTTAGAAAATGATACTCAAGTTATCTGACATTTAAAATCTCAAGTTTTTTTAAACAGTAATTCACAAAACAAAAGAGAATATTTAAAAATGCATTTTTAATTTCACAAACGTTTAATTCCTTCATAGAAAACTTTTGAGCCAGACCGTGTCTAATGGTTTAAGCCTAAGTGAATGGATTTTTAAGTGAAGTAAATAAAACTTTGTAGCTTAAGAAAATTTTTTTTCATTCAAGATAATGACAGTGTGTATCCTAATGACCTGGGTCAAAATTTTTCGTTGAGGATAGTAGTTTTTCGGCTGGGTGTATACTGAAGAAAAAAAACCCAAAAGTTTTTAAGTATTTGCTAACTTCAGTATTATATTATATACGAAAAATAAATTTAATAGAATATTTAAATAATTTATAAATTAAAAAAAAATAACTAATAACTAAGAATAATTCAAATTTTGATTTTATTTACAAGTAATATTAAAATAAAATTTACAAAATATTAGAATAAAATTACATTAGAGAAATAGCTTCATTTGATTTTGATAGGAATATATATTAATATATGAAGCAGAATATAAACGGACTAATAAAATTCTCCGTTTTAAAAATTGAAAACAATAAAAAATTTTATTTATAAATTAAAAAATAATAAAAAGTTAAGCATTTTATTTTATAAAAATGAGCAAAAATTCAAGAAGTAAAAAAACCACGTGTTTTTATCCACCGCAATTAATTATTAAAAATAATGAATAATTATTATAAATAAACCACAACCACAATTAATTAATATTAATTAAACACCAAAAGTTAATAATAAATAAAAAAAACAATTAAATATCAAATAAATACCTCTTTATTTTGATAAGTATTGTGGTGCGTGTAACTATTGGGGATCCGTGGGGATGAAATCATTTTAAATCCAATGAAACAAATTCAATTAAACCCAACACAGATCGGTGTGAAATAAATTTCAAAGAGAGCAATTAACAATAATAAAAAATTAATTAAATAAAAGACTTTTGCTTTGTTGCACTGCAATATTTTTAATTACTTTATTCACTTAGAATGGAGCGTTGATTTGTTCAACTATACTCCAGCAAGATCAAACAAAATGTGAGGACAGAAGACACATTTTATATACCTGAGTTTCCGTGTCCGTAATTTCCCCTCACCTTTTTTGGGAATGAGAGGGGCGCATCCGGTTGACCGAACGTCGCAAAATTTTGGCCGATGTTGTACGAATGAGCGGTAGAAGCTCCCACTTAAGGCCCGAAAGTACTCAGGTAATGTAAGTGGAGTGGAGGGGTATGAAGAAAGGGGAAGAAAGGGACTGAACTGTAAGGTAACTTTAAAATTTTTTTCTGTACATACTATTTAAAATATTTCACCTGGGTATTTTTGCGCTCAATGAGTATCTAGCGACTGAACTATAGTTTCTTGAGTGTAAAATTCAACTACCAAAAGTTGAGTTCTCTTCTTAATGAAGAACATACCTGATAGCTTTGTCCTTTTGCAAATACATGGGGGCTAGACAAGGGCCTCATGCTGGGGTATAGGCGTCAAACTAATCTCCGACTGTCGCAGTATCGTCGGCAATAAAATAATTTTAAGTAAATGCTCGTCTGTTTCTGGACATTCACAATGATAATCATAAATCGTTAATACAGTGAGCACTTTTAAACTCTCAGGTAACAAATTTTAATATTTATGCATTTATAGTGAACTTCTAAGTGGACTGAAGTGTAATGCATGTACATTACTTTTCTTGGATATTTTTAAAGAAAAATTAAAATTTTTACTACAAATTTTACGTTATAAAAAAAATATATTTAGTAGATATTAAATAACTTTAGAATTTATTTATTTATTTATAAATTATGGCAAAAAAAAAAAATAAGAAAAAAAATTGGCATGTAAAAATTTTAAAAAATGAAAAATGCAATTTCTTTAAAATTATTTTTTGGAACAAATTTGTTTGTTAAAAAAAATTAAAAAATTCTCTAATGACTGCTAACTTTACTGTCATAAATAATATGACATTAAAGTTATCAGTCACTTGACTATTTTTTAATTTTATTTAACAAAAAAATTATTTTTAAAAAATTGCATTTTTTTATTATCTAAATTTTTAAATGTCAATTTTATTTTTTTAAATTTATTTTTTAAAAAAACTTTTAAAATTATTAAATATCTTTATAAGTTAATTTTTATAAAAATAATTAAAATATTTTTTTCCAATGAAAATTAATTTAGCAGATATTTAATAGTTTTTTTAACAAATAAATTATGGTAAAAAAAATATTATAAATAAAAAATGCAATTTTTTAAAAATAATTTTTTTATTAAAAAATAGTCAAGGCTTCTAACTTTGTCATTTTTTTCCTTCGGAATAAATCATACGAATTTTATTGACTCGTAAATATTTAAAAGTGATACATATCGCCGGTTGTTCAGGCGTGGGATTTATTTTTTCAATAAAATGTTTTATGTTACGTTTTTTATCAGCTTACCTTTTATTTAATAAAATATAAAAATATAAATTGTATATGATATGATGTATTTGTAAGTAATAGTAGTTTAAATAAATGGGATGTATACAAATGTATTTATAGTGAGTAGAACATCGAGTTTCATGCATGCGACCAATTAGATTGATAAAATTCAAATATGTAAATACTGATTGGAATTTTCAGTTATTTCCCGGTAGTGTTATGTGTTCGGAAACAAGCGGCAGAGAACAGAGAACAGAGAACAGAGAGCAGAGGGTGAGGATGAGGGGTGTACCTGTGAATATCTGTATTCCCTTCGTTAATCCGTAACCAAACGAACCGTACGGTGGATCTATTAAGTCGTATCTTGTTACCACAGGTAATAAATTTAGCAGTAATAAAATTTTTAACTCCATAGCTTGCTGGCGAAACTACCTATTGTAATAATTGTTCTCTATAAAGATTGTACTGTAAATTTATTTTGAGTTTCAGTTATTTTCCACTGGGTTAGTAATATATATTACTCTGCGTTTGACGATATTAATACTAGAATTTACTCTGTGGATGCTGTTCTCCTGCTATTCACTTCATAATGATCAAACGTTTCATTCTACGTGTTAATAAATGTACGTGTGCAGTTAATATACACGTGTATCATTTCTAAATTCTCTATTTGGATATAACAAAGTTAATTTAAAACCAAGTGGATTTCATTTCACAGTAATTGTCCAAATAATTGTTTTATTATTTTAAATTGTTACTATAACTGGGATGAAACGTTTGGTGGTGTATTTGTTGCTGCTTTTTGAGACTATATTAGGTACTAGTAGTTTGTAGGTGACAAAAGTGGGCTGGAAATTTGACAATTGTGTTGTCATCTAAACATTTTAAACTGAAAGTTAAAATCTATTATAATACATTATCATTGTAATTATTATGATACAAGATTAATATTTACTGAAGTTTTGCAATTTTCGAAAAAAGAACAATTAGAAAATTTAATTTTGTAAGAAATAGATTTTTAAATTGTAAAATTACATTGAAAACTTCAAAAATCAATTCTTGAAATTTTATGATATTTTTATTTATTTATTTATCATCTTATGCTTATCGGCAATATAATTATAAAAATATTATTGTAATTTTTTACGGCTTTTGCTTTAAGTGTATTTCAATTAATTTTTTTTACCGTGTTATTAATTTAAAAGAAAAATTAATTAATAAAAAAATTAGAAAAAAAGTCTTTGTAATTTTATACATAAATGAGTAATTGTTTTTTGATATTTGACTTATGTGAAAATATTTAATTTTAAGCTTTATTTTTTAGATATTGTTAAATTTTGATTTTTTTACTCAAATTATATAAACTATAATCACTAAATAAGAAAAAAAATTACTATAATTATGAAAAGTTTCTATTTTAAATATAAAGTAAATAGCCAAATATTTTATTGTAAAAAACTAATTTTAATTAGTATCTTATCTTTATTTTCAAAAGACAGTATTATTACTTTGAAGCTTCCTAAATTTTTTTTTCTAATGAGATATTAACTGTCAAATGAATTTGTACTTCTAATCCTCTTAAGAAGCTATAGAAGTTTTTTTTTTTTTTTTTTATTTAAATAATATTTATTTAAAAATATAATTATATCTTTTTGTAGAAAAAATTGAAATTATTCTTAAAAGATTCTAATAAATTAATTCCTGCAGTGTCAACATTTCTTTAAAAGTATTTAATTA